TTGCCGGCTTATGTCATCCTGTTCAAGACAGGATGTCAGCCCCATAGTTGCCATTTTAAAGATACGTGTAAAAATATAGTTCTTACTCTCAACCACTTCTGAGATAATACAAACGCTAAATAAAGCAACATAAACTAGAGGTACTGTGAGCAATGAGCTCACTAAATGATACCCCCCGCCTTCCATATGAATATAATGGCAGTGTCCATGTTTTGCTCTGGAAAATCCAAAATATATGTCAGATCAAAAAGTAAAATAGGAGGTGCACAATGGCAATATGTAATGAAGATTCTGTGAAAGTTTCATTAAATTTCCTTCAGTGGTATGAGAGGAGTTGCGGATAAGAGATGGGTACCCCAAAGCGTAACAGACGGACAGACGGACGGACGGAAATACCGATTCTATATACCCTCCCACTTTTCAAGCGGGGGGTATAATAAAATGAAGTTTTATCTAAATAAATAAACATCAGTAGTAATGACTTTGAAAACTTTAGTCTTAAGTCAAAGAACATAGTTTATTAGCGTAAGGATTTGGATTTCTGATAATCAGTGTTATCGTAGTTCTCTACACAAACGAGGAAAAACAGGAGAGGAAACTAGAGGTACTGTGAGCGATGAGCTCACTAAATGATACCCCCCGCCCCCCATATGGTTATAACTGGTGAAAAAGTCCATGTTTTCCTGTGGCCGGGAAACCCAAAATATGTGTCGGATCAAAAAGTAAAATAGGAGGTGCACAATGGCAATATGTAATAAAGATTCTGTGAAAGTTGCATCAAATTTCATTCAGTGGTATGAGAGGAGTTGCGGATAAGAGATGGGTACCCCAAAGCGTAACAGACGGACGGATGGACAGACGTACAGACGGACGGAATTAACGATTACTATATACCCTCCCACTTTCAAGCGGGGGGTATAAAAAGACTGGCCTGTTTGTTTACATTCAGCCGTAGTACCAGATTAATTTGATTCTGACACAAAATCGGACCGTGGTATTTGGATCGAAAACTCACTGTCAGTGTCTTATAATATATATTGCTAGTTTTAAAATAATTTTTTCTTCAGAATTTTTAGGTCACCTGAGTAATTCAGGTGACCTATTGCTATCCGTTTTCGTCCGTCGTGCGTCGTGTGTTAACATTTGAACATTTTCAGCTTCTTCTCTGAAACCACTGAACCAATTTCAACCAAATTTGGCATACAGCATCTATGGGTGGAGGGGAACAAAAATTGTGAATTTCATGGTCCCCGCCCCCCCAGGGGCCTGAGGGGTGGGGCCAAAACCACTAAAATTATTGCAGTCTTTAAAAATCTTCTTCTTTACTCCTGGACATCAAGCAGGCAAACTGTTGGCATGAATGTAATGAGCATTGAGTCCTCTACTAAAATTGTGAAATTCATGGCCCCGGGGTCAGGGGTTCTAGTGCTAGGGCAGGGCTCTATAGATTATATAGTGAAAATGCATTATTTCTTTGAAAATCTTCTTCTCTGCTCCTGGGTATTAAATAAACTAACTAAGCACATAGTTATGATGAGCAAGAATGCCTCTTCCAGATTTGTGAATTTTATGGCCCCGGGGTCAGGGGTTTTGGTGTTAGGGCGGGGCTCTATTGATTATATTGTGAAAATGCATTATTTCTTTGAGAATCTTCTTCTCTGCTCCTGGGTATTAAATAAACTGACTAAGCACATAGTTATGATAAGCAAGAGTGCTTTTTCCAAAATTGTGAATTTTATGGCCCCAGGGTCAGTGGTTCTGGTGTTAGGGCGGGGCTTTATTGATTATATAGTGAAAATGCATTAATTCTTTGAAAATCTTCTTCTCTGCTTCTGGGTATTAAATAAACTGACTAAGCACATAGTTAAGATGAGCAAGAGTGTGCCTCTTCCAAAATTGTGAATTTTATGGCCCCAGGGTTAGGGGTTCTGGTGTTAGGGCGGGCTCTATTGATTATATAGTAAAAATACATTAATTCTTTGAAAATATTTTCCTTTGCTTCTGGGTTTTATGCCAATGATCCAAGTATATATATATATTTATGATGAAGAAAGGTGCATCAAGCAAAGTGGGTTTTTTATGCCCCCAGGGTCAAGGGGGGGAGGGGGGTTACATAGTCTAAAAATAAATTAATGCTTTGAAATCTGCTCTTTGGTATTGTTCAACCATTTTATGATAACATTTGCAAAATTTTGAAATATGTAGCCCATGGGTCAGCGGTTCCTTTAGGGTGAGTAGCACAACTGGGTATAAAGTGGAAGTGCATTTTCTCTTTGTTACTCTGATCTACCTCTGGGTATTAAGTAAATAGAGTAAGCATGCTAAGTTAAAAATTATGATAAGCAATGGTGCCTCTTTCAAAATTGTAAATTGTGAATTTCATGGCCTCTGGTTTAAAACACGAACCAAATTTAATTGTTTGAAAGTTGTTACACAATACTCAGGTGACCTATAAGGCCCGTGGGCCTCTTGTTAATCTGATATTCTTGTTATTTATCTGTTAATACAACATATGATTCATGTAAGAAATTCATTTTACTCTGTAAATGAGCCCGGCTCTCTGTACTTCTGAGTACTTTGATTTATTATACCCCCCGCTTGAAAAGTGGGAGGGTATATAGTAATCGGGATTTCCGTCCGTCTGTCTGTTATGCTTTTGGTTACCCATCTCTTATCCGCAACTCCTCCTATACCACTGAATGAAATTTGATGAAACTTTCACAGAATCTTTATTACATATTGCCATTGTGCACCTCCTATTTTATTTTTTGATCCGACACATATTTTCAGTTTTCCATAGCAAGACATGGACACTGCCATTTTTAACATATGGGAGGCGGGGGGTATCATTTAGTGAGCTCATTGCTCACAGTACCTCTAGTTTTAGTTACTGTATGTCACACAATTCATCTGTATTTATTCTGAATTTCTAATGCATATTACAATGTGTTGTATCACTCTCACACAATGACTAAACAAAAAAATTTGTTATACATATTTTACATGTAATTTTCCAGGGAGTATAAGACCAATAACATTAGTGTGAACATCTTCCTTGTGAATGAGCGCTGGCTGTTTTCTCTGTACTGGTGTATGGGTGTTCCCTCGGTAACAACAGATAACTGTCATACACTGTCAAGTCTACAGACTCCGATATTCCACTTGGTAAGTCCACCTAGACTACAAACCTAGGTACAGTGGAGCCTCATTTATCTGGATGCTTTGGTTCCTAGTTAATTTGCCTGGATATATGAAGCGTCCTGATACCTGAATTACCAGTTAAACAAGACAAAATGACGTTAAAAAATTCCGTTTGGATGAAAAATCATCCGGATACTGAAGCATTCGGATATCTGGCGTCCGGATATCTGAAGGTCCACTGCATATCATGGCTTATTCTTTACAGTTGTTTCACTGAAAAATGATAGGCTTTGAGTTATATGAATAATGAAGATAAAGATGAGAGAGTTGTTTCCTGCTTAAAACAGTATATGCTGTTTATATAACCATACAGTGCTTATGACTGGTTAACAAGGGAAGCTCACTCCTTCATGGCACTTGATCCCATCACTAATATTTTTAGAAATCCATGTTTGCTCTGCTCCTGATTTGTATTGTTTCACTGGACTCTGACCTTATTTACTGTTGGCCATCTCTGTATTACATGGTGTGCAGTATATGATACAGTGAAGTACATTAATTCAATTGTTCTTGAGACATTTGTTAATTAATTTTCAGTCTCCAAGGAATTATCTGATCTTATGGATGACTGTGGACATAATGTCAGCTCTCCTGGTTATCACAGCATTCATTGTACAACGGTAAGCGTTTGATAATGCAAATTCTGATTTCATGTGGTCATACAATGACTGCATGCATTGTACAAAGGTAAGTTTTGGTACAAATACACTAAGTCATACAGTATCTGCATGCATTGTACAAATGTTAGTATCTACAATACTTTCTGTATGTGGTCATGTGGTAAATGCATGCATTCATATAACGGTCAGTATCTGTACTATATAGATATGTCCTGAGTTGGTCGTACAAACTTTTCTGTAAAAGGGAGGTTAATCAGCTCAAATTAAGTATGCCAGTAGCAAAATGGGACAGGCTCATTTCTAAAACAAAACAAAGATTTCTCATGGGCAAGTAGAATTTAGCTACATGCATGCTTAAAATTCATAAAATACCTGCTGACATATTTTACCATGTAAAAAAGTATCTTGAATATGGAATAATACCCTTGGTTTTAAAATGACTAGTTTACAATTTAAAGTGGCAGAAAGGCCCGATGAGCAGGGTGTTGATTGATTTTTTTAGGTCACCTGAGTAAACTCAGGTGACTTATTGCTATCTGTTTTCGTCTGTCGTCGTCCGTCGTGCGTTAACATTTAAACATTTTCAGCTTCTTCTCTGAAACCGCTCAACCAATTTCAACCAATTTTGGCATAAAGCATCTGTGGGTGAAGGGGAACAAAAATTGTGAATTTTGTGGTCCCTGCCCCCCTGGGGCCTGGGGGGTGGGGCAAAAACCACTAAAATTAGTGCAATCTTTAAAAATCTTCTTCTTTACTCCCGGACATCAGGCAGTGAAACTGTTGGTATGATTGTAATCAGCATTGAGTCCTCTACCAAAATTGTGAAATTCATGGCCCCTGGGTCAGGGGTTCTGGTGTTAGGGTGGGGCTCTAATGATTATACAGTGAAAATGCATTATTTCTTTGAAAATCTTCTTCTCTGCTCCTGGGTATTAAATAAACTAATTAAGTTCATAGTTATGATGAGCTACAGTGCCTCTTCCAAAATTGTGAATTTTATTGCCCCAGACTAAGGGGTTATGGTGTTAAGGCGGAGCTCTATTTATTATATAGTGAAAATGCATTATTTCTTTGAAAATCTTTTTCTCTACTTCTGGGTAATAAGCAGATGAACTATTTACATATTTATGATGGGCTCTTCTTCCAGAATTGTGAATTTCAAGGCCCCTAGGTCAGGGATACGAAAGAGGGGGGGGGGGGCTCTATTTATATACTGAAAATGAATTGTTTGAAATATGCTCCTTGGTATTAATCAAACATTTTTGATAAGCGAGTGTGCCTTTTCAAAAATTGTGCAATGTGTAGACCTAGGGTCAGGGGTTCATGTGTGGTAGGAGCACTCCTGATTATCGCTGAATATTACTGATTAGTTGACATACATTTTTGTTCCCCTACCCTGCTTATGGGTATTAAGTAAACAAACCAAACAATTGCTAAGTGTATAGTTATGATTAGCATTGGTGCCTCTTTCAAAATCGTGAATGCAATAGCATCTAGCTTAAAACATGAACCAAATTCAATCATTTGAAAGTTGTTGCATGATGCTCAGGTGACCTATAAGGCCCGTGGGCCTCTTGTTTTTTAAATACAGTTTGTAAATAATATTAGTTATCCAGGTTCAATCAAGGGTGTACGGGGATTTACCCCGGGTTTTATTCCATACACCCTGAGGCCGAAGGCCGAAGGGTGTATAAATACAACCCAAACAATTGCTACACCCTTGATTGAACCTGGATAACGAATTTATTTCCTTTGTACCCATAAAAATGCTTTGTAAACATGATTTTTAGCTTTTATCATAGAGAATGTATGCATTGTGACGTCACGTTTATTTACACCCGGCTCAAGTCGGGTGCACGGATATTTACACCCGACTTTGTAACCAATAAGAGCTCGTGTTACAAGCTAGATAGGAAATAAAATAATTTATTTACATGCCACTATAAATAAATAAATTAATTACTTTATCTGGCATGCAAATAATATTGTTGGATCATGCCTTACTAATCTCAGATGCTCTTTACTAAAAGTTATGAGCAATGTGCAATTAACAATCACCTGGACTTGTTTGATTTGTAGACTACGCCGTAGAGGAACAAATTATTCTCCCAAAAAGATTAAGTATTGAGGTAGATTTACGACCAGTTATTTCACTAACGACTGATGCACTGTTTCTCTTTTGATTTTAGATATTTAGACTATAACTTATAAACATGTACCCTGGAAAATATGCTTATAGCAAAAACCCTTGTCTCTAGTATGATGAAATACACTTTTCATTGTGTTCTATAACTATTAAGAAGTGACTTGCTAGCTGATGCTATAATCGTGTTTTACTGTGCGTGAAGCTTTGAAATATTAAATTTACTTAATAATAATTAAATCACAATTATAAGGGTTTTGGAGTGATGTGAATTTTGAATGAAATGTGATTAATTTTATTTGCCATTTGCATCTTTAATCATATATCAAATTGCTTTTCAAAAGTTATTCAAGTTTTCAACCTAAGAAACAATATCTCATAGTATCTTTTTTTATATTCTCTAATCTTTTAGCAGCTCTCTGCATAAGACTGGTAGTTAAGTTGGAATAATTTCTTGTTCTTGTTAACTTTTGGTTAATAAACATGATTGAACTACTGATAGGGGGTGCAATGTTGCACACATCTTAGAGTTTTGGATTGGAATGACAATGCTTTCTCCTTGAATTCCCCTTCAAAGTTTTGCTTACTTCTACTTTCTCTGCTCAGCAAGTTAAGGAAAAATATCTTTTTATATACCCTCTCTCCCCTTGAAAAACTTTGACAACATTGTCAGAAGGGAATTTTCATGAAAAACTATGCCATCACCTAAGTGAAGTCAGTGTTTATACTGGTATTTCATAATTAATATTTCATTTTATGATAAATCTATCTCGAAATCATTTTGCTTACAAAGATTTTTTTTATCTCAATTTTCATTGACATATTTTTTTTTAATTCATTGAAAAAACAATAGTAAATTTAGATAATTTTACTACTAAATTTAGATCACTTTCATGACTAATGATTTGTATAACAATAGTTTAGAGATGGTGGTTTCAGTTTTAATCATTTAGAAAAGAACTTAAGATTAACACCGTATTAGCCTAAAAATTGTAATCAAGGGAATGAATCTAATTCATTTCGTTTATGATTTTAATATTAAATACATGTATGATAAAATAGGCATTTGAAAGAGTGATGATTCTAAGCAAATGTATTTTAATTAAGACTTTAGTAAAGTTGTATGCAACCATATAAATCCTATTTCTTGACCTGTGATAATTCTATTTTTAGAATCCTGTGGTCTGGGTCGGAGTACAGTCCTGAGAGAATCGCCATTAACTCTGCTCCTACAAACGGTGAATCCACCAACAAAACTTCTAGATCCTCCCACAGACAAAGCAGACGGCAAATGAAGGAGAAACTGATTCTCAGAGATGTAGCAGCAGACATATTGGATGAGGATCCTGAGAGCCCAGAGGATTTTGGGATTGAGAGTAATTATACTGTCCAATCAACGGATGGACAGGAAATGGTCAGAACTTTCCAGAGAACATCTGGCTATGAGAGGAAAGTTGATGCAGAAATAAATCGTGTAGTGTGAGAGATTTTTTTGGACTGACACGGAAATTACACTAGTAAGAGAATTTTTTAAAAAAATTTTGAACCAGTGATTATGTTCGAATCAAAGCTTTAATTATTTCAGAAGTGACAGAATTGGTTTCAAAAGGCAAAAAAAAAAGGAGAAAATACTTAAGTGTGAATTAATCAAATTTTATAATGCTTATTTGTATGTTTCTTTTATTTGATATGCTCTAATGCAATTTATTATAATTTATTGTGAGTTAGCATTTTAGTATGTCTGTTGTTTATGATAAATGTTAGTGCAATCAAGTGTAACTAGGCATTAGATGCAATTCATTTCTTGTCTAGTTTTGATGAAAGCATTGTTAAATCAGGCTACAACATATCTGCTCGACTTCTAATTAATATATTTGACAGTCTCTGCATATTATATATTTATATATAAAAAATTGATTATTATTACAAAATCAAGTATTTTACTACTTTCATCATTTTTATAAGCCTGTTAGAAATATTATGGATTGTGTTTATTTGACTTTAAATGCTGTGTTTGGATCATTTTGAGAGCTGAATTGTCTAGATGTAATTTTTGCAGCTACAATCTTGCACTTTATTGCAGCATTCCAATTAATTTTAAAATATAGATTTTCAGTTCAGTTTCTATCCATTAATCATGAAACTGGAACAGCCTGGGACAAATTTTAAAAAGTTCAAATATAGAAATATTATAGTTTGCAGTTAAGTGTAAAGATTTGCGAAACATCACGATCTTTTTCATCAGGTGCATCCAGCGTAAACAACTCACTTGATTGGTCAACTCATATAATCAACATTGACATGGAAATAGTCTGTTGCACGAGCAATTAATCAGGGATAAGAAGAAAGTTCTAGTCGTAAAGCTTTTTTTACCTTAAATGCAGCTGTCAACTAGATCGTGACGTAACGTAAAACTTCACACTTAACTGCAAACTATAATAGATACAGTAAAACATGTTCATAACAAGGTATCAGGGATGAATGATTTTGCTTTGTTACAAACATAATTTGTCAAGTCTGTAAAGTTTAGATTACATGTATGTTTTAAAACCATGGGGAATGAAAAACACTTGGCTATAAGCATCAATTTATTGGAAATGTGTTCCTTATAACTTCTTTTAAGCATGTTTTACTGTATACTGGAATGTTTATTTGTCTTGCAGGTTATAAATTTGAGGAACACTTTTGTGTACAGACTTTAAATTAAAAAAGTTGTAGTTAAGATTGGAATGAAATGCTTGTGTCTTTTATGATTTTATGATGTTTGCCATAATTAACTCAGGAATTTGATTTGAGGACTAAAGCATTATTATTTATTTCAACCATCCCAATGCAAAAGTTCACTGGTTGACTATTCCTTTAATTTCTTTTATTTGTAGGGTTATGGCATTGATATATGAGGTTGCAAATTATAAATTTTTGATGAATATTGATTGAAATTTAAAGTTTTAATTTTTTTAATAGTTACTTCAGAAGATATGAACATGATTTTTTGGTGTTAGTTGTATGTGACAGAAAAATGCCAGTGTTCATGTTCATATATTTACATTTTTTTATGTATTGACTATTTTTTTTTCTGTTTGTACATTGTTGAAGATTAAATTTTCCAATGAATCTAAATTTGTCTTGGGCCCATTGGGTTTGGGATAACAACTGAAGTTTTTTTTTCAAACCTTTTATTTATGAATGATAAATATTTTTTCCTATGAATCTAATTGAATATAGTTTTCTTTGAACAAACAAATCAGCAGAAATTGGCTTAGAAGTCCTACTTGGATGGCACTTGTGGTTTTCATTTTCTATTTTTGTTAAGGTTCCTCAACTCTTTGTCCACTTTCAGGTGGAAGCAAGTAGAAGAGCTACTTTTAGTTTGTTAGAATATTTTACCACATAATACAATGATAATAATGCATAATGTATACAAAATTAGGTTGGTGTTAGATTTATGTATGCATATATATTTCAATTATTTTTATGATGTATATTAATTTTTTTTTGTAAAAAGTTATTTTTGATATTTATACTGTTTAAATCAGTAACATGTATTGACTTTGTTAACCCAGAAGAGTATATGCATTGTGTATTTGTCTTTTATGTGTACTTCCTCCCTTTGGAAGAAAAAGGTAGAATTGACAGTATGTCATACTGAAGATCACAAAATTTTCTCAACATGTGTTTTTTTTTTTTTCATTCTCTCTGTACTAGAGAGAGAAAATTTTCAGGAATTGTGGTAACTTCTCTATAAGATCTTTAGGGAATAAAAAAAATATGCGAGGATATTTTTGCAAGCACAGTGAATTACAGTAGTTCAAAGACATAACAGAACCATTGCCATTTGAATTCAGTCAATTATAAATGAGTTAAGAGAAGGGGGTCTTTGGATAATATTTGAAGATACTGTAGAATGGGTTAAATTTTTGATTTTTACATTTTAATTATTCATTTTCAAATACTATATGTGGCCTCTATTTAAATTTACATGTTTTTCAAAATAGTGAGAATTCATTCTCTCCAAATTCTTGGGAAAATGAAGAAAGGGAAAAACACCTTGATATAGAGTGGAAGGTTCACATGATAATATACATGTACCTGTTATTCTCTTAGCATTCCCAATTGACTTGAAAGTTTATTTCCATGTATGTTTGTGTTTTGATCAGTTTTGGTCATGGGTTGCTTACATGTATTGGTTTATTAATTTCAAGACAAAATTCAGATCTTGTGTACACCAGGTCACTTACGATTGACTGTGTCCTTGCTCAGATGTTGTGAATTAACAAGAATTGCTGTGGGAGGTATTTGCTTATCTAACGTCTAAAGGAATATTTTCGTTATTTTTATTTTTCCTGGAACACTTTTATTAAAAAGCAAGCTAATTCTCATTAAAATCAGCAGGAATAAAACTTCTCCATTCATTTTAAAACCTACCTGTTTGAAGTAAAAAGTTTAAGGTTCTTCTACACTTTGTCAAGGGAGACAACTCTCACTGGAATAAATAAAAATTCCTTTAAAGAAATGGCCTTCACTTCAAAAGGAATTTATGTGTAATTTGATCATTGTTTTGTATAGAAAATCATTAGCATTAAAGGTAATTTTTTGTGTGTGAACAGAGGTAAAAAAATTACGCCAGTTAATTGAACTGCAGGACTGGATATGTTCTTTTCAGTGAATATATTACAGATTAAAGCAACATGAAATAAATGCTGCTTTATGCAAGCACTGTTTGTGTTTGGTAATATTTACCAGGGCTTTTAAATGAGTTTATTTATTTCCTGTGTTAAATATATTCTTGTTTTATTGGAACATTAAAGAAAGAGCATCAGGGCTTTGAACTTTGTTTAAAATTTTTGTATTTTTCTGAATGTATTCTTCATTTTTTAAAACGGCTTGTATTTTTGTACATTGTATTTGCATTGCTCATGTTATCTTTGTTGAAAGTTGCTACACAAATAAATAATGAGAAATAATCATGATTAGTTTTTAATGGTCCAACTTCTGATGTTTTAGAGGTCTGTTTTGCTCTGCTCCTATTTTGTAATGTTTAATGAACTTTTGAGCTCAAATACTGTTCATTATCTCCACATATTTTATAACACAGCGGTACATGTAAGATTACTTTATGCCAGGGTCATATTTGTGTCAACCGGTGGCTTTGAAATCTAGTTTTGTGGTGGGTGCATATAATAATTTTTTCAATTTTTAGAATAATTGTAACTCTGCATTGTCAAATAAGGTTCAAAATTCATCTTATAAACTGTGAGACTTAGAATGATTGATATAATATGAAATATCTCTATTGATCCAATCAAATTTTCAAGATCAGTCCATAATAACCTTAAGAAGTCTTAGGATAATGATGGATCTTGTATTAAACTATAAAGTTTGGATTAAATCCTAAGGTACACTTTGTATTCCATTGCCTCTTGACATACAACAAGTCAGGAACATTACAAACTGATCAAAGAGGATGAAATGAAAGACTTAACATACCCGGGTATGTATTCAAATTTTAGCCTATATTTCAATGTAGGTAATATGTGAAGCTTGGTTATATTGGCTGTATGTGGGAACTTTCTTGAATCTTTGTAATTCAAATTTATTTGTTTTCCTATGTCCATGTTGGTTTATTAATTTTTCATCCCTTCTTTTTGTTTACATATCAATATGACAATGCGCTGTATTTTAGCTGCAGATTCTATGAAAATAGAGGTTTGTGTTAAATAAGAAACGCATTGAGTTCCATTTAATACAGGTATAGCCACAAACTGAAAGATACATCCGACACGCATTATCTCGTGCACACATCAAAGGTATAAAAATTACAAAATAGTTAGGAAACATCACAATATGTACATTATATATTAGCCACTTTTTTTCCAATCTTGCTGTCGCGGCCATTATGAAGAGTTTGAGTGAGGACTTCCATCACCAATAAAATTTCAATATTAGCTTTTTACAATCACACAATCTCCATCGATGTCTATCCCTAGTACTGTCTTCCTTTCCTCGTCCAGCTTAATTTCCGCCCGGCCGACATGTTTAACCGGATTTTTATTTTCCTTTGTGTTGTAAATAGTCACGGTTCTGCAGTTTCCGGCATCATCTGCAATCTGAATGGCGAGAGTGTTCGGGTCGACTTGCTTGGCGTTCCTGTTGATGGCACATTCGACGAATCCTACAGAAGAACACGATATTTAATAAGTGTATACATACAATTTTAGTGTGGCGTTTCTCGTTTTAAGACACAATAATTGCTTACCTTCGCCACGGTCAGTAGAATTGATCTCCGTCCATTTCTCTGTGTCCAGGAAGTCAATCAAAGTGTCCATTTTGTATCTATCAACTACTTTTAAAAAAACCTGAAATGTAAATTTGAAAAAAGCATAAACCTTTGCCGTGATATTGGAATCCTGGTGCTGTTGGCGGACATAATGGACAGACCTTACATAAAGATATTGAGATATTTTACATGGGAACAATGAAAAATTACTGTTTCTTTGGTATGGCATTCTCTGACTTTCTGGCCCCTTTTACGTAATATTATGTTTTGAATGCAATAATCTTCCACACACTTTATAAGCAAAATACATATGGAATGTAAATATATTTTTAAATCTGTGTACAAAATCACGGACCATTGGACATACTAGATGTGGGATCAGATGCCTAAGTCTAATAAATAATCCCTGTCCACCGGTCATGTCCTCATAAGCCCCTAAATGGAGTAATCCGTATTGAAAATTTGTGAAAAGTTATAACAAGCTAATTCAGAAAATCGGTGTCCCCAGCTTAAAGAAAAAGAAGAGCATGCGCGAATGTATGGGAGGTTTGGGGGTGGTTGGGTGGAACTTTAAGAATAGGCGGGCGATAGGAAAATGCAATGTAAAATTTTATTGCAAAACCTCAAAAGCTTCTTGAGTACGGAAGCGTATTAGTGCCACTTGGACATTTCACTTTTTTTTTTAAAAACTTTAATTTAAATTTTATTAACACACACACACACACACACACTTTAATCTGTAAAATTTACACTTTAATCTGTAAAATTTACACCTTGTAAAATTTACACTTTAAAGTGTAAAATTTACACTTTATGGTTAAAAAAAATCATTACACTTTAAAGTGTAAAATTTACAAAGGTAAATTTTACACTTTAATCTGTAAATTTTACATTTTAATCTGTAAAATTTACACTTTAATCTGTAAATTTTACACTTTATTTGTTAATTCACATAGTCAATTTATGACAACGCATTTTAAAGCCATAGACCGTTAATCATGCAAGATAGTATTTAATTCTGATTTTTTATTTTACAATAAATGCAAATGATAAGCAAATTAGATTTAAATTTAAACTTTTCAAGAAGGCTTCTTTTGTGATATTGATATCATCATAGGGTTTAATGAAGTTCAATTAGTAATTTGCAACAGTTAATTAATTGAATTTTTTTAAATAACCAAAAGTATATACATGTACGTATATGAATAACTAAAGGATGTTTATATTAATTTTGGAACGGCAATGTTATTTATCGACCGTTTGATTATAACCGATAACAGATCAGGTTGTTCAAATTAAAGTGTAAAATTTACAGATTAAAGTGTAAAATTTACAGATTAAAGTGTAAAATTTACACTTTAAAGTGTAAAATTTACATATTAAAGTGTAAATTTTACAGATTAAAGTGTAAATTTTACAGTTTAAAAAACATTTTGTGTAAAATTTACAGATTAAAGTGTGAAATTTACAGAATTGAAATTAAAAAAAATGTGCAAGTGGCACTAATAGATATCGCCTGGATTTAAAAATTTTAATTACACACACACACACACACACATAGAATGCATGATTTACGACCTTGACCTGTGACTTTATGGTTAAAAAAATCATTACGTAGCTCAAAGGCTTCTCGAGATATTGTGCAAAAACGGAAGTATTACAAACAGACAGAATTTATGACATATCTTTATATATATGTAGTTGCTGTGATTACAGACAGACAGCTATTTAATATTTCCCACTTAGTCAGTTTAAACATTTTGTGAACCGAATTGATGTGAATGAGTGTCCATTAATGTCTACAGTCGGTAAAATATCCAAATGTCAACTGTAGTATGCTTTTATTTCGATTTCACTGGAGTCTATATGTCAAAGAGTTTTCTTCTCGTGTAGACTGCTTCAGAAGAATTTAATTAGAAAGAGGCCTGTTTATGAAGGAGCTCAGTTAATGTCCCTTGGAATTTCAACAGATTTTTAGAAGACATCGTCTCTAATTAAAGACTGCATATAGCCTACAAGTTCTTTTTTCGTAGCAGTTAACATTTTGTTTTTCAGGAGTGAATATTGAGACATAATAGAATATTTCTGGACCTTGCATTGATTATTTGTTGATATAAGAAATTCTACTGATAAAAATCCAGTAGGATGCGGTTTTGATTCAATTCCGTTGACGAGAAAGGTCGAAAATTTTTTTAAAATACTTTTAACATTCGATCTAGTCAACGGAATTTAATCTGATTTTAAAACCGCACCCTTTTACTTCTTTGATTCAGTGACCAAGTTATACATCCCAGAAATACGAATTTTGTGTAGGTTAGTGTAGGTTTATGACAACCATAAAATTCTGAATAATTCCATCCCAAGGATGCTGAGATTTATGTAACGCAGTTACATTTGTTAGATAAGACTGACTTGCAGAATGACATAATTTTCTAAGAACAATATACTAGAATACCATCTTTAAAGGTAGTATGTCGGCGTGTTAAAAGGACATCACATATTTTTTTCATTGTAATACTGATGTTAAACAAATATGACAAAGATGATTATGAAAAACAGAGTCAAACTGAATCGTATTTACAATAATTTATTCAAGTTCTGTAGAGTAATTATTAAAGATTTCCTCAAGTGGAATTCACCATTTCGATCATGTGAAATTTTGCCCCAGTAATATCAATATAGCTAAAAAAATTTAGGGGATGAATTTGTATTATATGAATTCGTTTTCCCCCTCATTTTTTCACAGTAAACATTATAGTTGTACATGTATACGTTTCGTATATTGCATTTGCAAATAACTTTCTTTACTTTTCTTGGAAAAAGTTAAGCTCACTGCAGTGCATAATACACAAAACAAAATGTCAATGCAAACTTTCAGAATTTGAGCTCGTTATTAGCACTGACAGTTTTATTTTGTGATGTTTGTTTGGCAGATGCCCACACTTCTTACATAATTAAGAGGCTAAAAATTCTTATTACAAACATGTGTTGTTTATTAATCTCTTCATCAACGATATGGTTGCCTTTGCGCTTCTTCTATATTACTAAATCCGCGCTTATTTACCAATTCAATTAAGTCATTTCTAACAGTACTTATGTTGTGTCTTGAGTAATTGATATGTCAGAATTGCTGTTGCGAATAAACAATGTGCCAGATTGGCAGAAGAAAGACTTCGTTCATAGCATGTTTGGTTTGACATGCATGTGCATATCTTCTGTGCAAAAAGACAAGATCCCTTTCAAAGCAATTTTACAGACGCTTTCTGGACATTATTTGTCTATTTCCTTTCTCTCTCTTCTGTTCACATAAATAAATAAATAAATAAATGAAATAAATAAACGTAAAAATCAAAGAAACAAACAAAACAAATACACATGTATAAGTACACCGTGATACATTAATTAAACAAAGAAATGTATGAATAAATGAATGGGAAAATAAATATAAATAGAACCAAGAAAGGCTTAACTCTGATGCTGAGATACACGTTGCACAACGACCTTAATTAAGTCATTTTACATGATAGAGACTGACGTACAATTGATAGATAGATAGGAGTGAGGAAGTCAAAGACAAAAAGCTGAAGTACAGTCTGATAAACTCGTCACATTACCCTGACTTACGACAGTTAACGTCCTGCAATACACGTGACGTCATAGGCGACCTTCTTAGAGAGCATTGGCACAGATAGAACAAATATGTCAGCCTATAATCTAAATATTTCATCTAGTCAATCAAGATCATAAAAATGGCGAAAAAAATTGCTTTTCAAATAGAAGAGTTCAATAATTTTCTTTTCATTTCTTAACCCTTTTCTCTAAGCTCTCTTCTTGCATGTAACACATTTATTCGTACACGTAGGCAACGTGCAAATTATGAATTAATAAATTAATCTTGAATGATCATGCCCCCCTCCCCCACAACTACGTTTTTAAGAAAAGAATATCATAATATTATACTGTAACAGTGCATGTGTGTCTTTTTGAATAATAGAGTTGTGATCCTAAAGAGTCTAATAAAATAGCACCCCCATTTCTTAATTTCTGGCGTATTTGTAAATTTATCAAATTAGAAAACACCTCTTAAATTTTAACAATCTGTGAAATAAATCACGCACACAAAGACAAAGCAAAATATTGAACAAAGCTTGGCGAATGTCCTAATTTTCTCATTTCTGAAACATTTCAAATCATAAATCTTTCATTCTACTATACACAGAGCTTTTCAAGGCCTTTGTTTGAGAGATGAATCATCATTACAATCAACAGTGTTCAATAAATCAAAACTTGAGAAATTGTTTTCCAAAGCTCGGATCTGCAGATTGTCTGTTTTACTTGCATCATCGCAAACCTTCATGCTTTCACTGTAAAATAAGTATTGTATGTAGTACTTTTTTGTTTTTGTAACATGTTGAACTTGCCTTGTATATTTTCTTAGGTTTCATTAATATGAAGTTTCATGTGGGTGTACTATATCCGAGGATGGTTTCATTTAGGCTTAACTTCCAATTGGGTTAATTTGCTCCTTATTATACCAAATACCAAATTCCTTTCTTTATAATTATTTTAGATAAGACCTTAGTATTACATATGATGGAAGTTTGTATTTGAAAACTAATCAGAAGTTATATACTTTTGCTTAACTTATCGATCGTGCTATACGAGAGATTTGCAAAATATCTTTCCAACGTGACTAAAAATAAACCAGATAGTAGGAAGGTTGGAAAACAATTGCGAGAATGCGTGGAAACTTAAAATAATTGTTTCAATTAGTAATCTGTTTTCAAGATAACAAAAGTTAATATATTTGTTTAACTTTTTCACAGAGCAAATGTTCTTTTTAATGTTTTACAAGTGGTTAAATACACGAGGCACTTGAGTTCTATGGCTTGACGACCCTTAGCATTGATTTGTAAACGCCCGAACTCTTAACAATCCAACCCTATGATTTAGTTTATGAAATGCATGTAAATTAACACTTTTACTTTTAAATTGTCCATTGAACGTTTATGAAGATAAAAATGTATTAATACAGACTGTACAAACTACAATACAGGCCTATGATTTGTTTATATGAAATATTTTAAAATAAATGTTTTTTTTGATTGACCTTTGAGAATGTGTAAATAAAAAAAAAAAACCATGTACAAGTATTGATAGAGAATTTTTGTTTGTTCAGTGCTTGGCTTAGTCATGTACTTATTGGCAATTATTGAATATTGTTAATTAGTGAAAGACAAATGTATTAAACCAGTTTAGCATCCATAAGTAATAAAATAAGACACAAGTACTTGCTTTGAGAAAAAGACGTAATTTTCTGAGAAAATGAGTAAAATAAAATTTACTGTAAAAAGTGCTATATACATGCTAACCTGAACACAAAAACACGACTCTGAGGACCTACCTATAGTGTTAAAACTATTCCACACTGATAATATATTGACTCCACAGAGACCAAGAGTAGAATGGGATGGGACTCCAAGGAATCTCAAAGAAATACTAAACGATTTCGTTCATAGAATAGAATCGCAGGAATAGAATTTTCTGTTACTTAAAATAGAAAATCATTGTCAGTGTCAATAACTCACCCCTGATGAAGCGTTACGTCATTAGACTTTGTGGTTTCATGGATTGGCCAGAAATGTTTATTTGATTTGCATAATATGTGCATGTTTTATAGTGGTCAGCATGTTCTTATTACGGTAATGAAAGGTTTCTGATTAGTGGCATGTCTATTACATAATAAAGTGTAAATCATGCTAGGAGTTCTTAGAGACTTCATTTGTTGATATTGAGACTGATTGAGAGACTAATATCCTACAAAATGTTCTGTGTTAAATATTACGCCGTCCCTTATTGAGGCCAATATGACTGCACTTCGTTTCGCGTGTACTGTTATAACATATATGTAATTCTTTGCTTATCTTACAACAATATGTATGAGCCATTAATAGATGGAAGCGAGGTCTTAAATGCAATCACTTATGGATTGTAAAAAAAAAAATAAAGATTGTTTCGTTAGAGTGTGCGTGAGAGATGGGAGCGGGAAAAGCGATTTTAATGGATGCATCTTTCTTCTCCTCTATTGGTAAGGATGTTGTAAAATTTACTTTGTTGGTCTTTGTTCTTTTTATTTGAAATCGACCACTTTTTCAACTACATTGTACATGTATTTCACCTCAAATGCATTTTGCAATTACTTTCAAAATTACAAATTTCGTTTTTGTCAAAAAACTAACAATTTTGCAAATTTATTTAAAAAATAAAAAATATGACATACAAATTATATCAAATTAAATTTTAAGGCATAATAGGTACAAAAATACATGTATAAATGCTGCATTATATTGTGAATCGAAATAAAGAATTAAGATTTAGCTATTTATTCTACATGTACTTTTATTTTAAAAATTGACATTGGGTCATAAAACCTCTTTTTACACTCATCCAAGCAATATCCGACACATCATTTAGATGCAAAGACTCAATCAAACTGCGCTTATACATACAGTAAATATGATATCAAAGATTCATATGTGTATTTAATGGTCAGTTATAATATCCATTACAATTTGGAGAAGAGTATGTTATCGCTAAACCTGTCTCTCATGCTGCTGTACTTATTGTGAACACGTTGTTAACATCTTCAGATAACGCCTTCTGTGATTGATTGGATGTTATGTGTAGCTTGCAGCCAATCGTCTTCCTCCGCGGGAAACAATTATCACACGTTACCGTCACCAGCATCAGCGAGCTCAGAAAGGCGCATCCAGCAGACACGTAAAAGACAGCATCAATGTTGGAGAGTACCAGTGACAGCGACTCTGATGAAAACACGATATCACATATTAAGCAAGAGCAATTCACCCGTATCCCAAATATCTTTATCAAAATAAATAAAACAGAGGCGATAATGCTGATCCTATTATTAATAATAAATAATCATGTTGTGCATGCATGTCGAGAAATTAATTGTATGACTAGAAAAATGGAGAGAATGATGCAACAAGTACATATTACATGTATTACATGTGATATTGTATTGAGGAACGATTGTTGTTTTACATTGATATATGTAAGTAATTAAGGCGACTTACGCATCAATGGTCCACCTATCACAAAGCCCAGCCCCACAACAAGAAAGTAAGAGCCGAAGCTGCTGGCGAAATTATCGTTTCCAAAGAGGTCGAGGAGCACGGCAGATGTTATACTTATAAAAATCCCTGACATTTCAAAAATAAAAAAAGGAAGTTAATTTTAAAACAATTCAAGATATGAAGATAAAATTCAGAGTTGGTCATTGTGGCTTACCAGCTGAAAACCCAGATAAAGTAACGCCAATAGCCAGATATAAAAAGTCAGAAAAAATGGCAAATATAAGCAGCGAAACAGAGGTCGCTAAGAAAGACGAGGTCAACAAAACCATTCGACAAAATGGCGATCTACTGGCGGCTATCGCCATCAGGAGGCGAGAAACAGTGTTCGAAATACCAATGATGGACAATAAAAGCGACGCCTTGTCTTCGGAGAATCCCAATTGCTCAGCCTTTTTTGGAAGGAACAGAAACGGGATAGCATACACAATGTGCAATAATAAGTATGAGAGGGTCACTGTCGGGAAATTCCTTGTCCTCATGAGCTCTCTGTCGAAGACAGTTTGGCAGACCTCCCTCAGAATGTCTAGTCTACCTAGGACATTTGTAGAAAAAGACAATGGTTTATTACTAGTATAAAGAATATATATGATTAGAAAATTATTGGCTGTCACCAAGTTCATCCATTAATATAATATTAATAATAGTTAATAAATAAAGCGGATGAATAAATAATCTTGGCTATCGCGCATGTCATAAATATTTATCTTCTGCTTATACAACCTTCTCATTCTGAATATATAGGAAATGTACAATGCTTTGTCATTGGCTACGAATTTCACGAAATTGATTGATTATATACTGTTTAATCTAATATTTACATAATTATGCTATGTACTCGGGGCCTTTAAAGTGCCACACCTGCTGTATTTTATCCGAAGGAAAAGAAATATGAATACCCGGATCTATATCATATCAAACCACACTCTGTAATTAGCTAAGTATCAGTAATAGTGCTACATTTATTTTTCAGTGCTGGAAAACAGCAAAACATGAAATATTACAGCATTGACTGTAAAAAAACCCGTATGTTGTGAAAATATCATTTTCATCCAATGGATAAATATTTTATAATAAGAATATAAAAAAATGTTCTTTATAATTATACCTACTTTGCTTGCAGTTAACAAGATTGATGTTATACAAAAACGAGAATATAATTCCGTTGCAGTACACTGCAGACAATATCAAAAGTGTTCCTCTTAATCCGTATGTCTGATTCAGATGTGTAAAAATGTAGGGAAATGCCACGATCCCCACTCCTCCTCCCAAAACGCTCAGAATCAAGGCCATGGGTCGCCTCTTCTCGAAATATTCGCCAACCATTATAGTCGAGGTTACCGTTAAGCAACTGAAACCAATTCCTATCGGTTAAAAATCAAAACAAAAAAATGTCATTACAGTAATTAAGAAAAAAAATAATCAAGAAAATTCGGATCTTTTGACTCCATTTACCTGGTAGTACCCCAATGCAAAATATGATGACCGGAAGTGTCTGTGCATTGGCGGCAACAAGAAACCCTATGAAACAAAAGAAGGAACCGCACGTGCACAGCAGACGACAGGATACAACCTTAGTTAAAGCTGCCACGACTGGGGCTGTTCAGATACAATTAAGGTACTAGTATGTCAGAATTCAAATAAGCAAATTAAGCAAAATGAGTGAAAAAAGAAGTTTAATTAAAAATTACTATTTACCAAGACCAAAACCGAGGCCATTATAGAGCGCATTGATAGCTGAGATAGAAGATGCCTGTCCTTCGAACAGCTGCCTAAGTTCTATCTCCAACAGTCCAAAGCAACTTGCATTTCCAACAAACATAAAGAAAGCTACTGAACACGCTACAACAACCAGCCATCCGTGAAATGAGTCCTTCCGGACTTTACTTTGCATCCTTAGCCTCCCCAGCTCTGTCCTATCTGACCTAGTCGCTGTTGGAGAATTGCGATGAAAGTGGAAAGTGACGATAGATTGTTGAGGTTTTAAACAAGAACATTCCAAAAAGGGACAAAAACTGTACAGCCTCACCTGTCCTTGTAACGGTTCACAGACAAGATTTTGCATGACCATGCATCGACAGTCGTCATTAAAGTAGAAGTAAAGAGAGGTTAACAATGCATGCAGGTTCGCTACAAGTTCTGGAAGTGTCGCCTTCGAGCATTTTCAAAAATGCGAATTATATCTCAGGATTCAAGGAAACGAATAAAATATTTAATATAAAATATTACTGACGAACTATCAATAATCATTATGCTTATTTTGGTATAACATATACGGAACAGCCATACTGATAATGTTGGAATTACGTAACATGAGTGATCTAGTCATTATTTGAACAAAAATATAACGCCCGTTCGTCCAAAGATTCTTTGTGCCAAGTTTGGTTGTAATTGGCCCAGTCGTTCTGGAGAAAAAGGTGAAATTGTGAAAAGTTTACGCCGATGACAATGACGACGACAAATGATTTGATAGACTGATAAACTCACTTGAGCATTTTGCTTGAGTGAGCTAACAAAAACGCTTAATCAAGAAATGCATGCGATACTTCCACTGAAGGTTCAAATAACACGTGCGACCAGTTTTTCGAATGGGACCGTGTCGCATTAGATATCGTTATGAATGTCCATGGTCATGAGTGTCGGGTACAAGTCTATTAGTAGCCTTCAGAAGGCAACTATTGGAGTCACAGCATAAGTGATATATTCTGAAAGGGCGTCCAGCAAGCAAACAAAAATATACCCATCCCTAGACAAATGTTCATAAGAAATAAAATGTATTGAAAGTAAAGTTAACTCGCTTTGTGGTAAAAATGTTTCATTCAAAAAATGTGCAGAATTTATACAAGCCAGTGAAAATGTACAAAAAGGGGTACTTCCAAACTGCGAAGCCATTATCAAATGAAGTCCATAAAGGGAAGTGAAAGTTGCATAGATCACGTGATTAACTCTTCATAACGACACAGTCGCCATCTAGGTCGATTCCCAAGACGGTCTTGCCCTCAGCGTCCAGTTTGATTTCTGACCGACTGACACTTTTCACCGGGTTCTTTTTGGGGAGGGTGTATGAGAGGGTGACGGTTTTAGCGTTACCAGCATCGTCTGCGATCATCAGGGCGAGAGTTGTGTCATCCACCTGCTTAGCATTCCTGTTGATCGAGTACTCAACAAAACCTGCCAGAAATTAAAGAAAGAAATTAGTTACCTACCGGAGTAAACAAGAAAACTATGAGTTATTCATTCTTTTCATCAGACAAATATTTCTTTCAAGTGCCTGAAAACTGCTGAACATTACAATCCGAAATGCGGATTTTTTATTCATTCGCATAATATTCAGAAAGGTGAATGAAGTATCAGGAGTAGGAGTAAAATACACGTTTAATTAACGAATACCTTAATTAAGGTGATGAAAGCTTACATATCATACAATGCAAAAAATTATTCACGAAGCTTGCGACAGAAAAAAAAACCCAAGGGTTTATCTAAAGGCAAGGCATACAGGTCATTGGTATGTATGTCCATATTTAATTTACAAGAGAACAATGAAGATTAATTTCACCCTCCTCGCTTTAAGTGGAATCGGGTATTTATTATACATATATTATATAATTTTAACATTCACTTTTTGTATGCAACTTTTTTTTACTTTCATACACTTGTACACATGTTAAATGAGGTAGAAATGTTCTTCATTTGAGCAGAATTATAGCAGCGGACAGTAGCGGCTTATTTCTTCCAGCTTCTCCTACAAGGCATTCTTTCTACCTACCATCCCCCCTTTCTGCTGCGGAAATCTCTGTCCATTTCTCTGTGTTCAAGCTGTCAATCAAAGACTCCATCTCTGATTTCTACAAATAAACATACATCCAAAGTAGTTTCACACTACTTCTAGTTATTGCATGTTAAGTGCCTCCGATTACTAGAGTGTCTACATCTCCGCTTACTTATCCATAAGCCCCCAGAAATCTTTATCGACCCACTTAAACAGTTTTGGTTTTCATATTGCTGATGCTGATTGGGAAGTCTGAGTACCTATTTGTGATTAAAACAGATTTTTTTGTCAATGCAAAGCTGAGAGAATTTCACTGTGATAATCTGCATTCTTTTTGTCTTTGGGCTTAAAGTGTTGATTCTACATACCAATGAAAGTTTTCAAAAATCAGTTTTTTTAGACTTAAGTTAACAACAGAGTGTTCCATCAACCTGCTCTCTACAGGAGGCTCCTGGCAGGTGTGATTTGTCAACAGGCCAGGGGATGCCTACTTCTCCTGGAAACCTCTGGCCTGGGGGCCATAAAACTTAGACGAGCTCACTTTTGATCTCAGTCTCACTTTTCCATTATTAACACGCATTCTCTGTAAGCACCAAAAATTTACTATGGGGCTTGGAAACGACATATCTCCGATTTTGATGAAATTTGCACCACAGGTGCACCTTGGTACAAAACCAGCAAATATGGTGTTAGAAGTTTCCCACGTGCACCCGGCTGCCATGGAGACGGATCCATTGAATTTGGCCATTTTCGGCCATTTTTGACCAAACAAAAACATGAAAATTGAGGAAACATGAATGCATTTTTATCTTTATGTAGTGAACTCAAATATAAATCTTTGTATCATAGGAAAACATCAACTGTTAAAGAATACAGGGCATATAACCAGTTATTCCAGAATTGACCCCACTCATAGAAAACGGTTCTGCAAAATAGCATAGTTTCTCAAAATGTGAAAAATGGAAAATTTGGCTTTTTTTGAGAAATTTAAAGTTAAATAAAAAAAATTGTCTACGGAAATTTTTCAAATCATATGCGTGTCGTCAAACGTCAGTATTAGTAGTGTCCCCTCATGAAAAAATTGGAGTGGGATCTCAATGCTATATTTAGTAACATGTATCTAAAAATAGACATATTTCAGAAAAATCCAAAAAATGAAATTTGGGCAGAGTTTAAGATGCCATTGCTAGGTAATAATGAAATATACAGTAAAAGTCAATATGCTAATGTCAGAGACTGGACACCAATAACTACCATGCATATTATTTTCAGGGATTTCCGTTTTCTATTTATAGCTTCAAATGCCTAAATATAGACATGTCTCATAAAATGATGAAAAATGTCAATTTTCTATCATTTTGAAGCTCCACTGAAGCATGAATAATAAAAATATGGATCTGTCCAATATTTCATCAATAAGAACAAGGAATAGTATAATATCTCACAAATTATTGAGGACAGGCTCTCATCTCTATAAATAGTACAAATGTCTAAAATTAGAAACGTATGAAATTAACTGTTTAATGTTGATTTTCCACTAATTCTCCTATTAGAGATGGGAAATTTACCGACTTACTGTCATTAACTGTATCTGATATTATGTGACTGACAAGAACAATAGAACATTCAATGGAATGCAGCATGATAAGCAGAGGTTTCCATTTCTATTTATAGTAACACATGTTTAAAAATAGACGTAATGCAAAATATCGGGAAAATGTCGTTTTTTGTACTTTTTTTCTAAAATTTTGGATGAATAATTGCTGACTATCTGTTTTTAACTGCTATTGGCATATGGTGACCAACAAATAAAGTAAAGCCTTATATCAAATACAAAATGAGAAGCAGTGGTTTCCATTTCTATTAATAGTAACACATGTTTAAAAATAGACGTACTGCAAAATATCAGAAAAATGAAGTTTTTGGTACTTTTTTCTCACATTTTGGATGAACAATTGCAGACTGTATGTTTTTAACTGCTATTGGCATATGGTGACCAACAAGTAAAAGAAAGCATATACGAAAATACAGAATGAGAAGCAGAGGTTTCCATTTCTATTTATATTAACACATGTTTAAAATTAGACGTGATGCAAAATATCGGGAAAATGTCATTTTTTGTATTTTTTTTCCTAAATACGGCTTTTATTTGTTATTGACGGAAGGTGACTAACGAGTATGAAAAAGCTTTAGCAAAAATGTATAAGAATAATGTGTAAGAGTATTTTTCCTTTTCTAGCTATACTAACGTATAGTTATTAATAGACATTCAGCAATTAATCAAGAAAATGTAGAATCATTTTATTTTCTCAAATTAGGGATAGGAAATTGCAGTCAAACTTTCATTAGCTGTAACTGACATAATGTAACCGACACGTACAAGAGAGCAGTAACCAAAATGCATTATAAGGTGGGTTTTCATTTTTATTTATAGTAACACATGTTTTAAAATAAAGGCTCAAGTGAGCTTTTATGATCATTTGTGCCTTGTCAGTCGTTGTCATTCTCATTGTAAACTTTTTATATTTTCATCTTCTTATCAAGAACCACTGGGTTAATTTCAATTTAACTTGCCGCAAAGTATCTTTGAAAAAAGGAATAATACCTTTTCTCTGTTCGATTTTTCACTAAGCTAATAATTTATATTTCTGACCAATATTAGTTTGTTTAAACGCCTATTAATAGCAAAGCCATTTCTGTAACTAAGGTTACTCCCCATCCTCTCATAAAGACAAGTTAATTTTTAGTAGTAGTAGTATTTAAAAACGTAACAAGGAATCTTTTTCAAACACTGATACCAATGTATGACAGCTTATTGCCATGAAAATCAAGTCTTTAAAAAGGAGATAAAACTCTAGGGTCATAACAAAATACTGGTGAATTTTTAATTTGTTACATTCGTGTCGGAAGCAAATTAAAAGTGAAGAGGGGGGTCCAAACATGAAATCCTATTTCATGGGAGGGGGATCGAACTTCTTTCAGTACCATTTTTTTTCTTTCAAACACTACCACTTACCCTTATTCGACTACACTGCAACATGCCTGCTGAAAGGGGGGGGGGGCTAAATCTACTCCCCAATGTTTATTACCTATATATATTTTTAAATGCTTTAGTTAAAGTCTAGAGAAATATATACATGCATGTATAGAGAGAGAGAAATCGAAAGTAAGCCAACTCAAAAAAATTAGGCAAATTTCGGATTTCTTTTGAACAAATTGTGGTGAGGCATGCATGGATCAAAGGGGATCTGGATCCCTGGAATATACAACTTTATTATACCCCCCCCCCCCCAAAACGAAGTTTGGCGGTATATAGGAATCAGCTTGTCCGTCTGTCTAGCTGTCCATCTGTCCATCTGTCTGTGCAAAAGTGGCGGTATATAGGAATCAGCGTGTCCGTCTGCCTAGCTGTCCATCTGTCCATCTGTCTGTGCAAAAGTGTCCGGTCCATATCTTCCTTAATGAGGAACATTATAATCTACTACTTCACACAAAGATTGCCCATGACCTAAGGGTGTGTCATGACCTTGACCCAAGATCATTTGGGGAACTTCAAGGTCACTGGAAGAAAAATTTCATAATTCGTGTCCGGTCCAAATCTTTCTTATGGATAAACTTGGTAGGTTCTCATTTCACACAAAGATTGCCCATGACCTAAGAGTGTGTCACAAGGACATTTGGGGAAGTTCAAGGTCATTGAAAAAAAAAATTCGTGTCCGGTCCACATCTTTCTTACGGATAAACTTGGCATGTTCTTGTTTCACACAAAGATTTCCCATGACCTAAGATTGTGTCATAACCTTGACCCAAGGTCATTTGGGGAAGTTCAAGGTCGCTGAAAAAATTTCATAATTCGTGTCCAGTCCATATCTTTTTTATGCATAAACTTGGTATGTTCTTATTTCACACAAAGATTGCCCATGACCTAAGATTGTGTCATGACCTTTACCCAAAGTCATTTAGGGAAGATCAAGGCCACTGAAAAAATTTCATAATTCCTGGCAATTCCAAATCTTTCTTACGGATAAACTTGGTATGTTCTCATTTCACACAAAGACTGCCCATGACTTAAGTGTGTGTCATGACCTTGAACCAAGGTCATTTTGGGAAGTTCAAGGTCACTGAAGAAAATTTCATAATTCGGGTCCGCTCCATATCTTTCTTATGGATGAACTTGGTAGGTTCTCATTTCACACAAAGATTGCTCATGACCTAAGAGTGTGTCATGACCTTGACGCAAGGTCATTTGTTGAAGTTCAAGGTCACTTGAAGAAATTTTTTTATTATTTGTGTCTGGTCCATATCTTTTTTATGGCTAAACCTGAATCTACTACTTCACACAAACATTGCTTATTACCTGATTTTCAATCATGACTTTGATCCAAGGTCATTAATGCAAGGTCAAGGTCACTGACAGAAAAAGTTCATAATTCGTGTCTGGTCCGTATATTTAGTCTGGTTTTTTTTTTAATTAGAACGCGCCTTCGTTTCATTTATAAAAATATTATGAGCAATTACATTTGCATTAAAAATGTTTTAGCATTTCTCTCTTCTCTTAGATCCAATTGATATTCATGATTTAGCACCTCTGAAAAACCCAGTGGGGGTATTTAGTCCCGTTTGGACAGTTCTAGTTTAAATTGACATTGTTATTTGAGCCACCGCCTTCTAGGGAAAATTTTCTGGATCCACCTAACAAAAAAATTCAATCGGGCTCGGGCTGTACGTCGACCTGAATATAAACGATAATGCTTAATTTATAAAGAAAATCGCTGTCATTTGAGTGTTTTAATGCAGGGAGAATATACTTTTGTGATACATGTATTGGAATGAGGTGGACGCGCTGACGCGCCGAATACAATTAGCCATGTCAATTACAGCTGATGAAAGTTTGACTGCAAATTTCATATCCCTAATTTGAGAAAAACGAATGATTCTTTATTTTCCTGATTATTTATAGATATGTGTTACTATAGGCAGAAATGTAAAAATACCCTTAAACATTATTCTTATACACTTTAGCTAAAGCTTTTTCATACTCGTTAGTCACATTCTGTCAATAACAAATAAAAGCCGTTTGTCTGCACTTTGACCATCCTTGATGTTAGAAAAAAGTGCAAAAGTCTACATTTTCTCGAGAATTTGCAGCATGTCTATTTTCAAACATGTGTTACTATGAATAGAAATAGAAACCTCTGCTTCTCATTCTGTATTTCATATATGCTTTCTTTTACTTGTTGGTCACTGAATGCCAATAGCAGTAAAAAAAACATATTGTCTGCAATTGCTGATCCAAAATGTGAGAAAAAAGTAAAAAAAAAAACTACATTTTCCCGATAGTTTACAGTATGTCTATTTTTAAACTCATGTTACTATAAATAGAAATGGAAACCTCTGCTTCTCATTCTGCATTTGATATAATGCTTTATTTTACTTGTTGGTCACTGAATGCCAATAGCAGTTAAAAACAGATAGTCAGCAATTATTCATCCCAAATTTTTGAAAAAAGTACAAAAACGATATTTTTCCGATAGTTTACAGTACGTCTATTTTTAAACACATGTTACTATAAATAAAAATAGAAACCTCTGTTTCTCATTCTGTATTTGATATAATGCTTTCTTTTACTTCTTGGTGACAATATGCCAATAGCAGTTAAAAACAGATAGTTAGCAATTATTCATCCAAAATTTAGAAACAAATACAAAAAATGACATTTTCCTGATATTTTGCATCACGTCTATGTTTAAACATGTGTTACTATAAATAGAAATGGAAACCTCTGCTTCTCATTCTGTATTTTCGTATATGCTTTCTTTTACTTGTGGGTCACCATATGCCAATCGCAGTTAAAAACATATAGTCTGCAATTGTTCATCCAAAATGTGAGAAAAAAGTACAAAAAACTACATTTTTCTGATATTTTGCAGTACGTCTATTTTTAAACATATGTTGCTATAAATAGAAATGGAAATCACTGCTTCTCATTTTGTATTTGATATAAGGCTTTACTTTACTTGTTGGTCACCATATGCCAATAGCAGTTAAAAACAGATAGTCAGCAATTATTCATCCAAAATTTTAGAAAAAAGTAAAAAAAACATTTTCCCGATGTTTTGCATTACGTCTATTTTTAAACATGTGTTACTATAAATAGAAATGGAAACCTCTGCTTATCATGCTGCATTCCATTGAATGTTCTTTTGTTCTTGTCATTCACATAATATCAGTTACAGTTAATGACAGTAAGTCGGTAAATTTCCCATCTCTAATTTGAGAATTAGTGGAAAATCAACATTAAACAGTTAATTTCATATATGTCTATTTTTAGACATTTGTACTATTTATAGAGATGAGAGCCTGTCCTCAATAATTTGTGAGATATTAAACTATTCCTTGTTCGTATTGATGAAATATTGGAGAGATCCATACTTTTATTATTTATGCTGCAGTGGAGCTTCAAAATGATGGAAAAATTGACATTTTTCATCATTTTATGAGACATGTCTATATTTAGGCATTTGAAGCTATAAATAGAAAACGGAAATCCCTGAAAATAATATACATGGTAATTATTGGTGTCCAGTCTCTGACATTAGCATATTGACTTTTACAGTATATTTCATAATTACCTAGCAATGGCATCTTAAACTCTGCCCAAATATCATTTTTTGGATTTTTCTGAAATATGTCTATTTTTAGATACATGTTACTAAAAATAGCATTGAGATCCCACTCCAATTTTTTCATGAGGGGACACTACTAATTGACGTTTGACGACACGCATATGATTTGAAAAATTTCCGTAGACAATTTTTTTTATTTAACCTTAAATTTCTCAAAAAAAGCCAAATTTTCCATTTTTCACATTTTGAGAAACTATGCTATATTGCAGAACCGTTTTCTCAATTTCCTCAATTTTCATGTTTTATTTGGTCAAAAATGGCCGAAAATTGCCAAATTCAATGGATCCATCTCCATGGCAACCGGGTGCACGTGGGAAACTTCTAACACCATATTTGCTGGTTTTGTACCAAGGTGCACCTGTGGTGCAAATTTCATCAAAATCGGAGATATGTCGTTTCCAAGATTTTTTGGTGCTTACAGAGAATGCATGTTAATTCCTTTGGAAAAAGTGAGACTGAGATCAAAAGTGAGCTCGTCTAAGTTTTATGACCCCCAGACGTGCCCCCACCTCTCAATTTTCCGACGTTTTATAAATATACCTTCCTCACATAAGATTTTATTATCGATCATTGTTTTATCATCACCTTTTACATGGAATAGTAAGACTTAGTGTGTTTTGGATGAAGTAATCGTTTTCATAAATTCAATGGTCGTGATAATGAACTTACACGCAAATATAGCAGAGTAGTCTATAGGTTTTATTTTGACAGACATATTTCATTGTTAAGCTTTTAAAATGGAATATTCCATCCAACTTAATATATCGGGATCACGGCAGATGTGACCGGTTAACAGGGGATGTTGTTTACTCCTAACTCTGAAATTGCGGGGGCCCCTGTTCTATGCCCTGTTCACAGATTTATGTTGTTTGTGGTTTTTAATTTTAGATCGATCACTGCGTTATCTTCCCCTTTTTTCCTTTCAACTGGTAACCCGCAGAAATTACAAATTAAAGTTTGACCTATTTTATGTGGGGAAATATTATGCAGTAGCATGCAGTTCCTCCTCATAATATGTCTTTTTATTAGATTAATTGAATTTTTGATCTTTTTTTTTTTTAAAGAAGTGTATGTATATATATCAACGTTTCATCTCGCATAAGAGTTCAAAGATATCGGTTTAAAGGTTTCTATAAATCAAATTGGTAAAGTTTTTGATGATGGAATATTACTAGAAGTTCAAAGAGTCCTGTATTAAAGGAAGCATATTTTTTACGTTTGTTTATATTATTTGAAGAAGGTGATTTAAGAGTTAAAAATGAATTTTACATATGTAAGTGAAGATTTCGTTTGAAATACATTTGTTTCTTTTTTTAAACTTTTACTTTGGTAGACACATTATTATAGTAATTTTTACATAATACACGTATAATTATAACAATTTTGCTAGACATTGTACCTGTTAGGCATCTATTTAAATATTTTTTTAATTTATTTTACATTATGTATGCTTTTAACGTTTACTGGAACAGTTTGGATGAGAGAACCTCGAGATGTACATTTTTATATAAATAGAAGTTGTCATGATCAGTATGACATTCTTATAAAAAGTCAAGCAATGTTCCGGCCGACAATATCCAGTTTTTGACACAAGATTTCAATTGAAAAGGAAGATATGTTTCCTATAAATAATTAAACATGCTCATTTAATTAATGCACAAATTTGTTTCATATTTCAAGAAAGTAACAAATGTGCAAGGAATTCACAGATGTTAAATAATGTCAGACCGTCTAAAACAATGTAACGATATGAAACAATCCCAATCACACGTTGTTTATTTCTTATACATGATATGTTTATATATTTCACCACAGTCAATTATTATTGTAACCGCCTACTGTGATAACACATTTATAACACACATCACATGTGATGTAATGTGACCTATGCGTAACTTGCTGTTTACGTAAAACACCTTGCTCATTTCATTTTCTCTCTGCACGAGAAATTCAATAAATTCTTTTGAAAACATCTTTGCATTTATAAAACTTTAAAATATAATTTTCCGAAATTTAGTGTGCATTAATTTATTATATTTAAAAAATGGGATATCTTGAACGCCCTGACCGATTCCTTGTCGATTCTACGTTTAGCGTAGAACGGAATAATTAGAAACACTCTCGCATATGTATATAATAAGTACGACTGATTGTTAGTATATGAATGGCATTAGAAAACATTGTTCTGATCATAACGAACGCTAGATTTTTATCAGTGACGTGTGGCGAAAAGTCTGTGTGCGAGACAGTATAGCACACCGTGCTTATGATGACGTAATAATAGCATTTACAGATCCATTACATTTTTTATTACTCAACAACCGTTAGCTAAATATGCTTGATGAGCAATTAACAAAATATAATTATTATCGCTAAGTGCATAATTTGTAAAATAATCTTTATAAGCCAACCGATGCTACTTCTTTTAATCCATAAAATATTTTTGAAAGATAACAACAAAATTAATAAAGTTTTGATTTGATTAAATTAAAGATGGTCTTAAATGCTATAAAACTTCGCATGAATTGTCTGTATAAATATACAAATAATACTGAAAGAAGAGGGGCTTTATGTATAATAGTTATGATGACTGAAAATTAAAATTAAAATAAGCTTTCATCAAAATATTTAATTAAATAAATGAAAAAAAGTTTTAAAGGATAAAATTAAACATGTTAAGAATCATTGCAAGGTTTGATTTTAAAGAATCATGCATTTTTAATTGTGTACATTTAATAGCTATTTTCCCCCAAAAAATTATTCATTAACAGATATAAGATTTGATTAGATAAGGGATAAATAGATTACTTACTTGTTATGCGGTACCTATCACTGGCGACTCCTCGTCTAAAGTAAGCGGTTGCCGTTTATCCCCGACTGTAAGTTAGCAGCTACAATTGGAGGACCCTGCAATAACGCCAACATCAATAAAAACAATGGGAGACAAGAAACAAGAGAAACCCGAAGGCCGAATAAACAGGTCGCACGTGGATACTATATCCTCCCTCTTTCCATACACCTGTACGAAGGTGTGGTACTAAAATTATTATATGGCATTTTAAAAATTGGATATATATAATCTTTTTATTTTTTTTTCTCATCATGACAAATATAATTTTTGTGAGGTTAGTCAAAATTATCTCAGGGACTTTGGAATGAATGAATAAATTAATTAGAGCAAAATTAAAGCATGTAAAACGTTGCTATACTATTCTTTTTTAAAATTCTTATTTCATTTTTTAAAATAACTACCATTCCAATTTGATAAAATATATATGATTCCTATGATTGCTGATGATTTTTGATAATTTGTCATTTCCATTCGATATTGATTCTTATTGAAAAAAATATTTATGATTTCTAGTATTCAAAGATATGTTTCCTTTTCGATAACGCATCATTCATATTTAAAAAAACCCATTCAATTCTTATTCGATTATTTTGTCATTCTTATTCGATTATTCTGCTATTCGTAAGCAATAAACTTGTTATCCCTACTCGAAATCATACGTACGATATTCGATAATATTGTTTTTTGTTTTTTGATAATTGTATCATTCCTATGCGATGTTTTCTTATTTAGTCTTATTCAATAATTGCAAAAGGTAGCATTAGAATGAGTAATTTATCGAAAAAAGAATAACAAGATTATCGAATAGGAATTTTTATGTGTTTTCGAATAGGAATAATCGTTTTTCAATAGTAATAACATGTTTATATATGAATCATTACACATCATATAAAAACTGAATTGGAATTATGACAAAATTATCGAATAGGAAATTATGATTTAATTATCGAATAGGAATCACGTTTTCGAACACAAATAGCAACTTATCAAAAGGAACAACAAATTATCGAATAGGAAAAGAAAAAAAAATGTTATAATACACCGTTTTACACACCGTACACAACAGTTTTGACCATTGTGTACTATTTAAATGTATGTATATTTGTAATGTACTTTTAGAATATACGATAGAAGCCCCCTTTCACCAAGGAAGAAAGTAAATAAAAGGACATCTGTTATTTTGGTTTTTATCTATGGGAAAAGTCAATACAAACATTTTTTTTTAATTTGAAGTATATGTACATATATTTTATTATCCATTAAACAAAATATAAACATCTTACAAGCATTTAACATTTGCTTTTGTTTTGTATTGCAACTTAACTTAGCTCATTGAGTGCCATAAAAAATTGTAACTTTCAGGAGCAGTGAAAATTTAGCTTAGAATTGTCTGTTGCTCACAAAAAGTGCCTTGAATATACGTCTCTTCTTGCCATTAATGAAACAACATTATAACTATGTTCTTATTTATTTAATTCTTAACTTCACTTGGATTTTAAAAAGTAAAATAGAACATCTGTGAAAAAACAGTTCACATATATAATAAAAGTATCAAGTCGTGGCTGCAAAGTTTATCATAGAAACTGATCGACTGTAAACTTGCTCCAAAAAATTGTTATAAATCTTATCTTTCTTATTTATACGAGTTTCCAATAATATTTTGTCATCATTTGCCTGGAAATAACACGCGCTGTACTGATTTTTTGATGTGTGTGTTTTGTAAATAGCAGAAAATTCCGCTCCGCCTATCTTTCCACGTTTCACTTTGCAATGAGCTGGAAAAGAATCACAAGAAGTGTTTGTAAATCCTGTACTATGTTTTGGTTTGATTTGTAAATTCTTTTCTGTTGTTTTAACTTAAGAGCGAACCACACCAAAGGATGCCCAATCACTATACCCTTTATCATCTGCGGAAGGATTATTTTTCTTTTTTATGACCACCAAACAAAATATTTACAACTTTAAAAGATTTAATTAGGTTGCCATCATTTTTTTGATGAAGGATTGATAATCACATCAAAGGCAAGTTCTCACAGCTTACAGCTTCAAGGTTTTAATCTCCAAAGGCTGACTTGAAATATCGTCGAACTGATTGAAAAGTAGGTGAATATGTAAGTCTTTAAACGTAGGATAAAAAGAATTCCAACACCCTTTAACATCATTGGTCTGTATAACATCTTTACATAATTAATCTACAAAATACTATCATTATTGAGTCATCGTAATTATGTATTTCTTATCGATGATATACGTGACAGGTTCCTCTCGAACACTCCCTAAACGCCTCGGCAGCAATATGGTAGAATTTAATGTTTGAATGATATAAATCCTGAGTTATGTAATTAGTCGGATTTGCAGAAATTTATTTATTTTGTAATGAAGGAGCTGCCTCCAAGGTCGACGATTCTAAGCTCGAGGATTTCAAAAAGGATATATCACAGCAAAAGAGGAGAAGGGTCGTTTTGAAAGGATCAGAGATTTACCTTTGATGAATACATGTAGGTCATTATCAATGATGCAGAACAAAAGCTGTGAATGTAAAACTTTGAGAAACAAGATATGTTTGTAAAAGACTGAAGCCCCCGTATGGCAGCTAATTGTCTCAAATGCAAGTCTTACTCCCAGGTCAAGGTCAAAATTGTTGGTATGCAAAGAAAGGTCTTGTCACAAGAATATTTCTATGAAATATGAAAGCCCTAGTACAAACGGTTCAATATACCGGTATATGTTTAAGCTTAAAGTTTCTTAAAAGTGATCCAATTATTTGTTTGAAAAGTCTTATTTTCACAGTGAATACAATATGAAGCATGAAAGCCTTAAATCAACCATTCAAAAGTTAAGGTTAAGGATTAAGTTAAGAAATGTTTGGTAAAAGATGGTCAAACTCAAAGGTCAAGTTAACGAGGTCAAATTTGGTGGTACTCTAAGAAAAGTCATGTCACAAGGAATACACCTGTAAAATATGATAGCCATAACCCCTTCCACTCAAAAGTTATGTCCAAGATGAACGTTTTTGTGGACAAACAGGGCAAAAACTACCCCTGATTCCTCTATTCTTCAATTATTTGTGGTTTAAAAATATGTAATATTTCATGCTTATTGATATTCTTAATTAAACAATTCTTGTATTAAAAGAAACCAATAATTTTAAGTTTTGGTATGATCTTGGGTGGTTCGTGTGTATTTTAAAGAGCATTCAGATGTCATCATATATAGCGGTGAGCCTTTTGGGTACCAATTTCTTATCAGCAACACCACTTATACTTTCAAATGAAATTTAATGAGACTTTTACAGAATCTTTGTGACATAGTGCCATTCTACAACTTCTATTTAACATTTTGATCCACTATATATTTCGGGTACCCATAACAAAACATGAAGTATGGCTGAAATATTGCCGATTTAGCGTAAAACATTAATCAATCTATAATATTAAAAGGTACCCATCCTTTGCTCACAACTCCTCCTAGACAACTAAATAAAATTTTAATGATAATTTCAAAGATATTATATTATTAGATAATGCCATTGTCCAAGTCCTTTTTTACATTTTGATCTGACATTTATTTCGGGTCTCCCAGAGCAAAACAGTATAATCAAATGGGAGGAAGCGGTATCATTTTGTGAGCTTAGTTCCCACAGTACCTATAGTTTTATTCTCTCTCCCCTTTCTATAAAACAAAATTAGAATACACCATTTGATACTTTGAGCCAAATATTTAGAATAAAAACAATTGATTTTTGTACAAAGATTTAAATCACTACAATTCTACATTTAACTGGTTTACTGCTCAGATTAACTAAAGGAAGCTAAGAAAAACCATAGACGAGAGAGTCACTATCAAAAACTATAAAATATATCGCATTTATTTAAAAAGTAAAAGAAGCCATTGTTTTTCTAGGAAATGAGTATTGTTTAATAGAAAAATTAAATTTTAAATTAATTCTTAACTCTTTTGATTGTCGAATTTTTTACAGCACGGTCAAATAGTAAAAATATAGGATAGTATATATGAGTAAATAAGCAAACTTAAGTCAAGCTTACCTAATATTCTTATTTCCCTTCAGTAAGATCGCCTCTGACTAGCATGCAGAGCATCCGACGTTTGGACAAAAATATTAATGGGAGGTAGAAAAATTTGTTATGATATCATTTTAACTTGCTGCTTAATATATTACAGAGCTGTTGGCGGAAGTGAGATTCTGAATTCAGCGCGTCGTATCAGAACAATCACACTCCTGCGATCAGCAATTTGTCTTCGTTCTGATAGCATGATAGAACCAGGCTTAAGTGTCGAATGAAAAGAACCATGCATGACAAAAAAGTTAAAGCTGATGACATATTGCTCTAGAAATTAAACACTTGATATAAATTTTAATTTTTTATTTCATATTTTTCTGTAGGATCATATGGTGTGTGCAACATGTGCTTTGCAATGCTATTTGATTTCATCATAATTCATTGTATACCTTCATTGTCTTAAGAAGCTCGGGAAAGGAAGATATTTAATTTCTGAAGAATTTCTTTATTGTTCTGGAATTTGATTTCCCTGTGAAGTTCTATTGATGAATTGTCTTCTGTAAAAGCTCTATAAACTGGTTTACTATTTCTTAAGAAGTCCGTTATTTGTCACACTTTTTTCCCCTGTGTTTTTTTACGCTTGGGTATCCTTAATTTTTCTGAATTACAGCTACTCCGCACTACAACATATTCACTGTAGTTTTTCGCTACTCTGGCATGCCTTTTCAGTCTCTTGGATTTAGGCTTAATAATTTTTCTACATATCTTTAAAACACTTTGCATTGTAATAACGACACAAAATGTGTATTCCAGCATTATTGCTTTTATTCTTACATAATACAACTTCAGGTCCATCAAGATAACTGGTAATGCTATTAGTTTCTTTTCTTCCTCCTACACTTAGACTGACTTGCTACTTTTCATTGGCATGTAATCTATTTTTATGTTTGACCTATCTGTTTCTGTGAGGTTATTAAGATATAGCACCAAGAACAACAAAATTTTTATCGCTAAAATGTAAATCCTAAATAATATCCTTCTTTTCATTAAGCGTCTATGAGTCTGAGGAAACCATGTCCTTTGAAAGAGATGTATTATCAGTAAGAAAGGAGATATCCCGGAGATAAGAATTATGGTATACTCATGAAGCAACATGGCTCCATGGCTTGACTGCTCTTGGGGGGTAGGTCGAAAACAAGAGGGCTGCAAGCTTTTGAGCTCGAATGCAAAGGCATGAAGGTGAAGGAAATATTAGATTCTTGCTCTTTTCCTTTGTTGCAAACGCAACCCCACCTTGTAGCTGTTGAATACTGTAAAATCACATATTCTTGTGGGGTCAGTTTTTCGAAGTTTGAGGAAAACATATTGGTTTGTGGGGATTTGAATTTGTGGTTGGAAAATGTGTAGTAGTAAAGCATATGAAAGTTACATTTCGTAGTGGTCATAAATTCTTGGGTCTCCATACCTCGAAAACAACGAACATTTACCCCCCTCCTCGAAAATTAGTGATTTCACAGTATTAACGTTGTTGCATTAAATTTTGCCTTTTTTTTCCTCACCTCAGAAATAAGAGAGCTTTTGGCTAGGACATAAAATATATGAAAGTATTAATCATTAGCTAATGTCAATCTGAATCAATGATTTAACAAAGCAATACAGACAAGCAGTAAGCTTAAAAACTCATTATTCTGAACTAAAAAAAACCCTTAAACCCGCAGAAAAAAACTGCCATAATGTAATATTATTTTTCGAGAATTGATAGGATCTTCCATCTATTATGTTGATTTATCTCTTAAAAACACGTACGCATGTGAAAGACAATTAACACAACAATTAACACAACATAAAATGTTTTAGAGTTACGTAACAATAGCGTCTTACATGTTAAAGAGGAGACATCAATGATTTCCATTTCAATGTATTCAGTTATTTCAATAAGACGCACAGTTTTGCAAACTAAATATAACACACCAGAATTATTTACCAGTTACATTATCTTTACTCCTTACCAAAATATTAACTGTAGATCTTTAAAAACTCTAATGAACTTTAAGAAATTTTGAAATGATCAAGTTTTTCCAAAAGTCTTGAACATTTGACAAAGCAAAGATGGTTTTTAATATACAAATATCCTCACGATAAATTAAAAACTAGGCTTTTTGATATCGTCTACAATTGCTTCTACAGTAAAAAGGAACTCAAAAAAATTTGCTTTTATGATAAGTCATCAACACACAAAAATCACTCTGATTCTGCAAACCAATACTTTAATGTTGAAATTAAAATGTGCCGACCTTCAGATATATACGGCGGGTGTGGTCAGTTAACAATAGTAATTTCCAGCAAGTTTCCGATATATCCAGATCTGGAGTTCCCAGTTATGTTCTATTCACATATTTGTGTTTTTATGAGATCAACCATTGTTAGTTTCATTTTCATCATGGGAGCAAAAATTAGATTAAATACAGAGATAACCCCTGAAAATATCAGGGCCAACTAACACTAAACTATATGACAAACGATTTTTCAGTTTTTCAATCGTCAACTTTCCTTTTTTATGTAGTAATATTCCACTATCACCTGCTTACTTGTATGGGGTTAATGTCTCCCACTTATTCGCTACTCAAGAGGTTACTATGTTTAGTACGTTTAATTTTTAAGCAAGGCATGCTCTTTCTGTCAGATAAGTTGATATTTCAGGGACTTCAATGACATATATGACAATTAGTCAGTTATAAATTATAAATAATTTAAAATGAGACTTTTTAGTGAAAGTTCATTTGTAGATTTGAAGTTAAAAATATGTTTCCAAGTCTGAAGAATACATGTATTTGAAAATAAAATCAGGGTGTAATCCTTCCTTTGAAGTGAATGTTGTTGGCATGCTATCTGATATTTATTAAGTTTCTGATTATGTAGACAAAAATATATGTAAAAAAAATTAACAAATTCTATTAAAATCAACATTAATTAAAAAAGCCTAAATAAACATTAAATTTAATTTCTACCCGTCATTCAGCAAACTTTTCTCTTTGAATCTTTAGTAAGTTCTTTGAAATATTTTGTATACATCATGTACAATGTATATGTATAACTTTACTACCACAATTGTTAATAATTCTTTTGGCAATCACTGATTATAATTATTATATATATTACAGGGAAAGGTTTTTCTAAGTTGCAAGAACTTGTAACCAATCCCTTTGTATAAATTATACAATAAAATATGTTCAGAACAATCATATTTGGCAAATAAATCAGATTCAAATAATGTATATTGAAAAAAATAGCGCAGTTTAAGCTTACAATTAGCACTATTTTAGTAATACCTAAAATTAACATCACAGACGCCTACTTTTTATTTCATTTTCTGAATACATAAGACGATTTCAATCAGTCTGTTTAATTCAAAAAAATATATCATTACTTTCAGATGATTTTATTGCTTTTTAAAATTGTTAACACCAAAAAATAACATTTTTTGAGTGCAGAAAGGTCTAATTATTGAGTATACGAAGTAATTTGAAAATATTTTTGTTGTCACAACATCATTTTTAATGTGAATAATTAAAATGGAAAAAGACTGTTGATCCAAAAAATCATTTGAATAAAAAATATTAAAGGAAAAACTTCGAATATTGATTTACGTGTAAGACTTAATTATTTTCGAAAAAGGTCACATTAATTTGTCCGTAGTGTCTAAAGACCCCCATTTTTTGTTCATAATTTTTTTGACTTATGTAAGTAGATTCTAAAAATGTACTTGACAAAAAATTCTAAATACCATTTGATAACAGGAACCAACTTTCTTAATGGTCTTATTTTCATTTTTTTATTTATTAATTGTACATTTATGCTTCTGACGATACTAGTCAATATGATACAGTAAAAGTCGGTTATAGCGAAGTCCTTAGGACCTGTGAATTTAATTCGCTATATCCGTAATTCGTTATATCTGTATGCATGTTTTCCTTCAAGTATTACTACCAAATATGTTAGGGAAGCAAATATTACAAAACATATCTTCAATAACTTAAGTTTTACCATGAATAGAATTTTATATACAAATGCTAAAAGGAAATAAAGTCAGTTTAGTTCATCAATTTTTTATAATCTTTTAAAGTTCGTTATAAAAGATGTAAATTTTATCATATTTAACCTCAACGGGACTCAAGATCAGTTCGCTATATCCGTAAATTCGTTATATGAGAGTTCATTTTAAATTTTACAAAAATTTGTTAAGAATTTTGCCGGGGACCCAGAAAAACATCGATGTATCCGTCAATTCGCTATATCCGTGTCCGTACTAAACGAGTTTTATTGTAAAACTAAATATACATATTCAAGTTAAGAATTTTACACAACATCCAGAAAAAACCTTTTTTTTTCAATTCGCTATATCCGTGTTCCTACTAAAAAGTTTTATTGCTGAGTGTAATGATATTGTCACGTGTAAGAGAAGTTTTTAATTGGATTGAAGAAGGAATTAGGACCTAATTTTAGAAAAGACAATTTTTGCCATTGCCATTTGAAGTAAAAGGGGAAAGGATGATATCAGAATTGAAAGTTTTTTAAATAGTTTTCATTTTTATAAAGGTTAGCTTTCAACTTTGAATACGAGGGCTGTTTGGAAATTATTGAGGTATTGTGTATATTTTACTTTCTAATGAACGTCTTTCGGTAAAATTTTGCATAATTTATACGTTTGACAAACATTAAGAATTCATAAAAGCAAGACGTTATAGAAATGTTTATATTGTGTAAGAATATGATTATCTGTATGCATATATTCAGATCATTAAAATATTAACTGCAAAGTTAACGTGTTATCAAAAAGTTCAGTTCAAATGATTTGTAAGATTATATATTTTTATGAGATTAACAACGGTTGCAGAAAATTTACCAATATATAAAGTAACTAGATTCGCTGTATTTGGTAGTCTATAATATTTGATTTTGATATAAAGAACTGTAAAATCACAAATTTTCGTGGGGTCGAATTTCGAGGTTTACAAAATATATTGGTTTGTGGGGATTTGATTTCATGGTAATGCTGTGAAATTGGAAATTTACCAAGTAACAAAATAACAAGCTCTTCCCAACCTATAAAATTTGGTGACCCCCACGAAAATTAGTGATATAAGTAACTTTCTCCATATGATTATATATTTTTCTTTCTTTAGAAAAGCATATTATATAAAATAACGTTCATTTTTTTATAAAACAAAAATTCAAATACAGCCATGTTTATTAAAAGATGTGGACTTGGATACTACGAATACTTTAAAAATACGCTTAAAACGAAACTATTCAGATTAACTGAATGCAGCAGGCAATATTTCTAAGCGGCAGGTGCACCGATAGTAGCTGTGTGACTGATAACGAAGATCTCGCTCAGATCAGAAGACTCAGCCTGTGGGACAGGTTTCAGTCTTTTACAAGAACATTTAGTGACGCCCAGGGACACGGCACCCAAAATCATCAGTACCCCAGCCATGTAGAATGGAAAGTCGGCGTCATCCAGAAGTACGGATAAAGCACCTGTAAAAAGTCATAGACAAATAAACTATTCTGTTACAAAGATATATGATTTTCTTTGGTACAGGTAGCGTAGTTATGCCGCTTTCCCTCAATAAAGTTCGGATGAAATCTGCCTGTCTCTTTCTTTCGATTTTATTCAGTTTTACTTCTTGAATCTCTAGACTAATAAGAATTTGAATTGTTTTATTTTAAGCTTAATTGTTCAATATCAAAGAAAAATTTGCATTGTATTGGCTTCCTTTTAGATTGTTGTATAAAAGTTCCTGAAGTCCTAATATCGTTGCAATTCTTATGGATAAAAATATCTGAAGATCACAAAAACATTTCCTACAAGGTAAAATGGGATACAGCTAAGTGTACAAAACAAGTTAGACAGCCCACTTATCTATATCTGCCTAAATTAAAAATCCACTTCTTACAAATCTGAATAAGTATGCAATTTTATGCTTTAAAAGACAGGGCCAGTTTTATGAAAGAACTTATGACTAAGATCAAAAACTTTTAAATTAGTTGATTGTAAAACTTTTAAAAATATATGTTTCTGTTTACAATTGCTTGTGTAAATATCTTACTACATTCACTTCAAAAAGGTGAAATCCATTTTCAATACAATGTTCATTAAAAAGATATATGCAGAATTAGATATTAGTTTTAGTCGTTAATTCTTTTGCTCATTGTCATGGTTTTTGATACATTAATTCTTATATATGATTTGTTTGCAATTTATTTCGTAAACTTTGAACTAAATTCTTACTTGTCAATGAACCGGCCATCAAAGACCCGATTCCAAAACTCAAATTAATTACTCCATAACTGGATACTAATTTGTCAATACCAAATAGGTCTATCAAGACCATTGGTTGTAGACTATAAAGGGAACCTATAACAAATGAAAAAAAGAGTTGAATATTGTTGACACAAGCACAACTACATGTACATGTATCATTAGCGAAAAAATGTCTCCTATCTAGCAATTTGATCAAGATGAATATTAATCATTCTATAATCAAAGATTTTATTGAAAAAAACTTCATTGATTTTTTTTTTAAATTCTCTTTTGCCACAATATATATGCAATGTCTTACGTTTGTACATGTACTTTTGAAAAAAAGAGATCGTAAGATAGAAAGTTGCAAATAAATTTAAAACCCTTTTTAAGCGTTTCTCACTATTAAAATATGTGTCTTTAGTTTATTTAATTCATCAAGGAACATGCAATTTTCAAAACATAATTGCAATAAATAGAGAAATGAAAAGATTTTTTTTTAAAACAGAAGATATAACTTTTTTCTCGTTAGAGGATTACACTTATTATACATTACATAAAGCGGACCATCCCGTGAACTCGCCCTGAAATGAACCTTATGATTAGATGAAATGAAAAAAAATGTATGATCAAAAAAGATTATATTTTTTTCTCCTCTCTTTAAATTATGAAAATAAAGTTCTACAAAACGAAGTAATTCATCATAATACATACCTGTTGACACTCCAAACACGCAACTACCCATGATAAGAATATCGTATCTTTCTGTAAATGCGTACAAAGCCATAGAAAACGAACAAACAAGGAATGCAACAATGAAAGATCCCAGTCGTCTGCTTTTTGATTTTCCAGTGAAAATTCCGATCCCGATCCTTCCAGTAATGCTAGTGAAACCAATGGCAGAAATCAACATGGCCGACAATTCTAACGAGAAACCTATTCTCTCGGCCTTTGAAGGTATAAAGAGGAATGGAATAGTGTCACAGGCACCAAATATCATGTTGGAAAGTATCATCGAAAAGAAGTTATGGGAGCAGAAGGCATCTCTATCGCAAAAGGACTTCCTCATTTCTGAAAATTCTACTTTTCTCTCTGTAATTAGATTTACTCTTTGTTTTATTACATAGGCTTTTTACTGTATGAAGTTATGTTAAAGCATTTTCATAAGGAAAGTAGAATTACTTACCAATTGTCTTTGGGTTTTTTTCCTTTTGCCGGTAGATAATCCCGAAAAGAATACCATTAAGGTAGAGAGCAGACCAGACCAAAAGCGTTCCTTTGAGACCATAAAAGTTGACCATGAAGGAGAAAAAGATTGGAAAAACAATAAACCCCAAGCCTCCACCAGCTGTACTTAGTGCTAAGACAAGACCTCGTCTACTATCAAAACAACCACTGACCATAAAAGTTGAGGGAAGTGCCATGAGGCCTATTCCCAATCCTGTCAAAAAGGTGTAACATATATGTCGTCAATATGCTTTCGGTTGCATTGAAATTTATTTTTCTAAAGAGATTGAAATTGGTAGAAAATGTTAAAATTTTCTCTATCAGAAAACAAAAGAGCAGAATGTATCAGATAACAAAAAAGCAGGATGATGTTTTCTTACCAGGAAGTAGTCCCAAACCTACAAAAACCAAAGGCAATGTATCAGTGAAAGTCACCAGCAAAAATCCGGCACAACTGATGACGCCGCCTACAGACGACAGAAATCCACAGCTTGTGATTTTCGTTAAAACTGAAATAACTGGAGCTGAAATATATACATTAGTGTAGTAGTTTGTAATTAAAGACACAATATCTGTTAAATATTTAATCTACTTAAGAATTATAAAACAATATGGCAATCAAACATAGCATATACCCAATAAAAGAGGAATGGCATTGACCATTGCCCCTATCCATGATAGTCCTGTAGGGCTCTCCTTTATTCTCTTCTCAAACTCTTCCTGGATAAGACCAATACTACTGCGGGTTCCTGCAAACAAGAACCACGCCAGAAAACTAGCGATGACGACAATCCAACAAAACCCGTCATCTTTTTTCTCTGGTGGAGTGGGTTTCGAACTCTGTCCATCTGTTAATATCCTATGCAGGAGAACTTTGGGTACTTCTGGACAAGATTTAATTTTGGTGTCAACATCTTTCTCCACTTCCACCTCTGTGTTCTCTGAATAATTATCTTTATTTGTTTGATAATCAGAGACGCCAACTGATTCGGAATCCTCTTCATTTTTGCTGTCTTTACTATCTTTTCTTCCTTTCTTATTCTCTCTAAATGTATTAACCTCGGGATCGTCGCTAGGGGAAGATGTCTCCTGTTCCATTCAACGAAGCAGACAGCTGGAGGTTAATGTCCTTACTTTGATGAAAAAGTTGTTTGAATGTAATAAGTCGGTGACATGGCACCCATTTATATTTTGAAGGAGAGGTACACGGAGGGAAGACACGGTGAAAGCTGTGAAACTACGCAATATGACATAGATGACAATGCATGTCATAAAAAAAAAAGTTACAGGGGAAGAGGTTCTCATTTTACCCGGTATTTCATATATATTTGAATTTGTAAATTCATAAAGATCAAAACTGGATACACGAAGGTGTTCTTTGTACATTAAAAAGGTGAAAATCTATTTGACAGTAATATAATGTACATGTATCTCGTTTTTCTTTTAAATTTCACAAATATATAATTCTCTGGGAAAGGCATCAAGAAGTGAATAAAAGTTCAAGAGATATGCAAAAAATATTTCTTGATTCTTGAGTCTTGATTATGTATGTATAATTAAACATACATATCGGATTCATATGTTCTCAAGAAAGACGACCCTGTTTGAAATCTTCATTGATGGAAAGTAGGTTCTTTTGCTAGAAAAAAAAGGATTTTTATATGAATAAACTATCGATAACATTAAAAACACTCAAGACAAGAATGCGGGCATAATTCAACAATAAAGGTGAAATATAAAAATAAGAACGATTTCATTAAACCGCATAATATTCCATTCTGTTCTAGAATTATCAAAACATAACTGTTTGTCCTTGCACAATTCAAGTTGTTTGTATTTATCAATTCCATTCATGATTCTGCATTTGTTTATGTTCATTGATAAGAAAAACATCATTACAACCACCCGCTGTTAGCATGAAGAAACAATAAAATTATGCAAAACGATAGTTCTGTTTTATGATGAAACTAATGTCTCGAGAAAAGTTGAAATAGACATGCATGCCATGTTCTGGAATAATAATTCTTTGTTTAACTCGTATTTTTTCTTCGTACTGCATTGGTAAATAAGATAGTATGCATAATTAAACTAGTTCATAGAATATTTATTTGCTGTTGCTGAGTATATTTTTAGACTAAATTAGTTAGAGATCAATTCGTGTTTATTTCATTGCTCAGGAGTCATGCGTGTGACATCAAGGTTTGAGGGTGTGTTTTAGAGTCCGTAAGTAAGGAGATGAATCTTACTTCAAGGATTCGTATCCACGTTGGAAGCGCAGACACCTCCTTCAGATGAGATCGTATTAACAAAGATTCCGTGTTGCAGAAGAGACTGGCACAAAAAGATCAGTGTTAAGGTTTGGAGTCTTCTACTGGAAAGTGCATGTTGACAACGTGATATAAGTGAAAAATTCTCTTAAACGACTTTAAACAAACAATACTCGGAAAAATCAAAATGTGAACTTTTTTAAAAAAATAAAAAAAAAAACAAAAAAAAAAAAAAAAAAAAAAAAAAAAAAAAAAAAAAAAATAATAAAAAAAAATATATATATATATATATATATATATATATATATATATATATAATATATATATATATATATATATATTTATTAATAAAAACCTCTATATTGAAAGAAGACCGATATTTCTTGATGGGACCTTTAATTCAATATTAATATATACGACGCATTTTGACGAGATAAATCGATACAAAAAATTAAATTCTACTCCTTTGCCTCTTAAGAAACTCATTTGATCTCAAGTTAGAATACACCAAGAGTCTGACACATCTGATATTTTATTTAAAAGGTATTAATCTATGAAAAAAGTACAAAGTAGAAATTAAGTACAAATCAATTTTAATGAAAAAATTGTCTCTTGCATCGATAAATAAGCAATATTTATTATTATTTATGGAGAAAAAATAACTATTATAATACAATGAAAATTCCGTCATTTAGAAACAAACTATTTGCTTACTTAACTTCAGTCAACATGTTTTTTTTCTACTGTTAAATGTAAATATTGCATTTAAATTAGTTACTTTGCATATTTAAATTAAGATGAACAACAAAACCCAACCCAAAAAAAATTACTATCATAATTTTTTTTATATAAACGTGATATCTTTAATTGTTTTATCATTTTTCTTGGGACGTCCCAAATTGTCGTAAATTGGTTAAACACTTTATTTAGTTTTGCTAACAAGACTTTTTTTCTTGATATATAATAAAAGTCAATAAAAACGATCTTCAAGATTCATGTATATCACTTTTTAATAAGAAAATAAATGTAAATTGAAAAGAATCGCAATAACAATATAGGTCGGCACACACCACAAAGTAATTAACATTCTTTCTAATTTCATGAGTATTCCCTTTCCAAAAGCCTAACTACGTAAGAAACACGTGTCTACCCTAACAAAAAATATTATTAATATTAAACTATAGTTAACTATAGTTTACTATAGTTAACTATAGTACCAAAGTTAAAACTTTGGAACTTTGATTTACTATAGTAAAAACTTTGGAACTTTGATTAAGTACTATATAAAACCCGTTGGATTATGTTTTTGCTTCCGATTCTGTACATTTTATGAATTTTCAAGAATAAGATGCATTAAAGCTTCAATGAACTTTTTAAAAACCCGTCCCCTAAAACAACAAAGTACAAACAATCAATTTTAATGTAAAAATTGTCTCTTGCATCGATAAATAAGCAATATTTCTTATTATTTATGGAGAAAAAATTACTATAATTAGGTAAAAATTCCGTCATTTAGAATCAAAATATTTGCTTACTTAACTTCAATCAACTTGTTTTTTTCTACTGTTAATTGTATGTAAATATTGATTTAAATTAGTTAATTTGCATATTTAAATTCAAATGAACAACAAAAACCAGCCCAAACAAACCAATATCACCCCCCTTAAAACAGATTAAGAATTTAAAAAAAAAAAAAACTTACAAAAAATACATACAAAAAGTTTAATACTTTGACTTATTAAAGTAAAAACTTTGGAACTTTGATTTACTGTGGTAAAAACTTTGGAACTTTGTATTACTATGGTATAAACTTGGAACTTTGATTTACTATGGTGAAAACTTTGGAACTTTGATTTACTATAGTAATAACTTTGGAACTTTATAAAAACTTTGGAACTTTGATTAAGTACTATAAAACCGGTGGAATTATGTTTTTGCTTCCCATTCTGTACATTTTATAAATTTTCAAGAATAAGATGCATTAAAGCTTCAATGAACTTTTTAAAAACCCGTCCCCTAAAAGAACAAAATACAAACAATCAATTTTAATGTAAAACTTGTCTCTTGCATCAATAAATAAGCAATATTTATTATTATTCATGGAGAAAAAATTAATATAATAAGATAAAAATTCCGTCATTTAGAAACAAACTATTTGCTAACTTAACTTCAGTCAACATATTTTTTTCTACTGTTAAATGTAAACAGTGCATTTAAATTAGTTACTTTGCATATTTAAATCAAGATGAACAACAAAACCCAGCCCAAACAAACCAATATCATCCCCTATAAAACAGATTAATAATTTTAAAAAAAACTTAATTAAACAACAAACAAAAAATTTAATACTTTGAATTACTATGGCGAAAACTTTGGAACTTTGGATAACTATGGCATAAACTTTGGAACTTTGATTTACTACGGTGAAAACTTTGGAACTTTGATTTACTATAGCAATTACTTTTGAACTTTGATTTACTATGGCGAAAACTTTTGAACTTTGATTAACTACAATAACAACTTTGGAACTTTGATTTACTATGGCGAAAACTTTGGAACTTTGGTTTACTATGATAAAAACTTTAGAACTTTGATTTACTATGTTGAAAACTTGGAACTTTGATTTACTTTAGTAAACTATGTTTTACAATAGTATTTTTTAGTTAGGGTTGTGGTATCTCATTAATTTTTCAATAAGAAAGACGTAATCCACATCTTAAATTTTTGAACCATATTCAAGCTCTCGTAAGGTCTCTTTCATTAGGAAGCCAAGAGTTCACAGGTTTACGTTGATCTTGATCAATAATGTTCTTCAAATTCTGAATGAAATATATGGAGATGAGGAACACTATTCAAGCTCAAAAGTCCATTAAACAAAACAAAATAGGAGCAGAGTAACACAGACCTCCAAAACATCAGATGGAGATCAGATGCCATGGGGGAGTGAGCATCCCCTGCCGACTGGTCACAACAGCCTTGTGCTCCATGTTATGAACGGGAAATAACGGAAAAATCCGTCGAAAATTTTGTGTGTAAATAAATGCCTAAAGATAAGTATGGAAAACACCAGTTAGCATTTGACTCAATGATAAATTGTATTTGCTGACATGGTTGTTGTATCGGTCATAAAACTTTCAAATGATGAATTTAAACTCGAGACTCCATATTCTTGTTTCATCAACCTGTTTGTCAATAATTCATCTCGTTTTAGAAGTCATACATAGAAAGAGTGTGCTCTTGCCTGTCGAGTCAACTGAGAGATATAAATCCCGTAAGCAGGTAATGAAGACAATGCTGCATGAATACAAGAAGTTGACGATTTCTTGAAAAGTCATCATTTTTATCATAAAGCTTGGTTGTTAGATTATCATTAACGTTTTTCTCAAATAAAATATCCAAATATGAAATTGATTTTTAAAATACGAATTTAATAATCAGTTTTTGTATTTTTGTTTCTATTTCTAGAGCTTGGGAAAAAATGTCCAAAATCTCTTGTGCTATTTTAAAAACAAATTTTATATTTTAACTCTACGTAGTTTGTTATACATATGTTACTTTTATATATATCCTTTTTATATCTTGTATCTGTAATACAACTAAACAAAAATTCTTGTGCAACAAGGGCGCGGATGACGACGTCATTTGTAACAAAAGCAATTTAGGGTACCCTGAAAAACGTACATCTTTACTTCTCAGTCTCTGACGTCATTATTTGAAAATTCTATTTTTATTGCAGTTTTTTCTGATTTTATTGATATAAATTCGAAATCAATACAATTTTTAACATGCATGTATTAATACCAGAAAAACAAATGCAAATAAAGTATAATAGTGACACACCTAAATTAGTCCAGATTATGAGCTTTAGTCGATAGACCATATTGTCTTCCGCATATATCGTCATTATATCATATCTTTCAAAGATCATTTTTAAGATCTTACTACTGTAATGGACATTTAAAGAGCAATAGTCTTATACATGTATACTAGTAAGTCTTTACACTTTTATTAACATTGTCTAAGACATT